CCGTTATCGGCCCTCTTAAGAGTTGTGTGTATCACTGTTGAGGCATCCGATGGTAAATAAAATAAATACTACTACTAGGTTGCAACATGCCAAGGGAGGAGCTAGCTCGCTTGCATACTGACTGGACCTGTGGGGACCAGGACATATGGCTGTCGAATATAACACCAAGGTGTTTGTGTTCATGAACATTTTTTAACGTTAGCATTGGCTCCTGGAAAGTGCAACGGCTGAGTGGGCGGCTATGGGCTGATGAACATTGCTTCGGTCTTCGCGATGTTGGGCCTCAGCTTCCAAGCTTCCATCCATGCTATGGTGGAGTTATTGCCGGTCTGCATGGAGGTAACGAGGTTGGACGGCGAGCTGTCAGAGCACAACAGTGCAGTGTCATCAGCAAAAAGGCTGACGTCTGGAACTAGAGAGGGCAGATCGTTCACATAAGTTAGGAAAAGGAGTGGACCCAGTATGGACCCCTGTGGAACACCAGACACTACAGGTAAAGGATCGGACAAGGAAGCAGAGACACGGACAGTTTGATGACGGGACGACAAATATGACGACAGCCACTGCAGAGCTGTACCACGTACTAGAAAAATGGACTCGAGCTTAGCACGTAGGCCTCGATGCCAGACTGTATCGAACGCTTTTGATAGATCAAAAAAGACAAGACCTACATGCTTCTTCAGGTTACGATGTCCGTAAATATCCTGGATTAAGCGTGTCAATTGCAAAGTAGTTGAGTCGCCACGACAGAAGCCTGATTGTGCAGAGGAGAGGGCAGGGGTGACATGGTGGTAGAGAGATTCATAAAAGATGCGTTCACAGACCTTGGATATAGTTGGTAGGAGGGAGATGGGCCTGTAATTATATTTCAGAATGCTCTGTCTCCATATCAATGTGTTTGGCCTAGTTTCCTAACTCTTGATAGCTTTTTTGTAGTGAAAATTCATGAATTTTGTGATTTTATTTGAATCCTTGGTGTTAAAGGGGAAGTTAAGGCAAAAATCAAAATTTCACCAGTTGTAGTCTTCGGGGTGCTGAGTCGAATGGTCGTGGTCCGAGGAAGCTGAGACGCTCCCTTCCTACTTGAATCCCAATCGAACTTGCGCACTTCCACCGAAACTGGGTGACTGCGCCCTACTAGATGGGGATTTGTATGCAAAATGTCACTAAAAGCGCCATTTCGTTCTTATAAAAGCACGGATGACCGCGATTGGCCCATATGTTGTAGTCTTTTGGACGCTGAGTCGACTGGTTTCGGTCCAAAAAGGCTGCGATGCAGCGTTCCTCCTTTATTCCCAATCGAACATGGTTGAACAAGCGGTCACGTGCTCCTGCGTACACCAGTCACCTGGTCACCGTGCCTGCAGGGTACAACTTACTAGCCTGTTTGACCTTTTTTGGGTGCAGTCCTGTCACTCGAGTTGAACTCGAGTTGAACCTTGGTGTGAAAGTTGTCGCCTGCTGGCGTGGTGACCAGGTGATTTGGGCACCCAGGAGCACGTGACCGCTTCTTCAACCATGTTCGATTGGGAATAAAGGATGAACGCTGCATCGCAGCCTTTTCGGACCAAAACCAGTCGACTCAGCGTCCAAAAGACTACAACATATAGGCCAATCGCGGTCATCCGTGCTTTTATCAGAACGAAATGGCGCTTTTAGTGACATTTTGTATACAAATCCCCATCTAGTAGGGCGCAGTCACCCAGTTTCGGTGGAAGTGCGCGAGTTCGATTGGGATTCAAGTAGGAAGGGAGCGTCTCAGCTTTCTCGGACCAAGACCATTCGACTCAGCACCCCGAAGACTACAACTGGTGAAATTTTGATTTTTGCCTTAACTTCCCCTTTAACGCATGCGTGGAACACCAGGTTTCGTTGATAAAAGCCCTTGTTCCCTCTATGTTCTTCCGCCTTTTTCTAGCTCGCTCGAAGTAAGTTTCTTGGCAAGCTGTTCGATCTCGTTATCGACTGTTGTCTTGTACAGTACTTCCTCTTGGTTGTATTATAAACTTGGTGTGTCTCTGTGCTTACTGTAGACCGCCTTTCAATCATCAAACTGTCAAGTCCACTCTCAAGGATGGACTCGTCTGCAAGCTCCTTTACCTCTCCCGATGCTGCTGGTCAGTCCATGATCGAGGATCATGGCGGACATGATGAGCCAGTTTGGAAAGGTCTCGCAGGTGATGGAGCAAATCGGCTCAGACGTTTCAAGTATTGCGGAACGAGTGTCTGCTCTGGAAGCGGCTCAATCCCGCCCTGACCCGGCACGAAGTGCCTCTATTTCGTTTTCCGCTCTGGCGCCAAGAGCTTCTTCAACACCGGGTAAAACCCGTGAGATCCCCAACCCCTCGGACTGTGAGTCAGAAGAGGAAATGGACGAGTCAAGCTTGCTTGACAAATCGTCTCAGGATTTCAAAGTGTCCTCGGATACTTTGGAATTCTTTCGGGAGAAATTTACAACAACTACCTCGAACGAAGTTCGGCGCCAATGGCGTAGTCGTTTTGGGCGCCCCAAAGTAGTTGTGGCCCCTGCGCCCATCATGGACAAGATGGTGAAGTCCCGATTACACCCTGCGACCAAGTCGCGAGACAAGGCCCTGTCGAAACAACAGGCCTTGCTTTTGGACGCCGTATGTCCTTTGACCTACGTACTAGAGGAAGCTGGGAAAGAGACTCTCACCGTACAAGCCACGGTCGAAGCATGCCAGCAGGCGTTGGCTTTTATTGGCAATGCAAATATGCATTTGAATAGAGAAAGGCGGCGAAATGCCATTCTTTGTATGAATCGCGACCTTGCCGAAATGGGAGAAGATGACGATACGTTCAAAACGTCTGCACCCCAGTTGTTTGGAGATGGCTTCTCCAGAAAAGCGAAGGAACGGAGCGAAGAGCTCAAATGTTTGTCGCAGGCGGCGTCCTCGCGAGGTGGCAAGGCTTCCACCGGATCGTTTGTTCGAGGAGGCCGAGCCAACCATGCCCCACGGGGAGGCCATTCAAATCGGGGCAGTTTCAGTCAGAACGGCAACCGGTTCCGACCTTACAGCGGAAACCAGTACAATCCCCAGTTCAACAGGAAGCCCAACGACAGAAGTCGTCAGGAGTCAGCAAAGTGAGCCATCCGCCTTTACCCCTTCCTCTAAAGGAAATAAAGAGTTTTCAAAACTACTCAATGTCTTCTGTTGTGAGTGCTCTCCAGCAGATGGGTGTAAAAGACATGACAGAAAGTGTCGTATTTCACCAGTTCCCGATTGCGGGAAGAGTAGCAATGCTTGCACAAAACTGGAATGCAATCAGCTCAGACCAGTGGGTCTTGAAATGTATTCGGGGTTACACAATTCAGTGGCTTCAGAAGCCCTTTCAATCTCACTCTCCAAGAGAGATAGTGTTTCGGGAGGAGGAGAAATCAATATCTCCCTTGACTGAATAACTTTGATGGCGAACAAACAGGCCATCTCAGAAGTTTCAATACCCGAGCTTGGAAATGGGTGTCAGAGACCGGACACAAAGTGTCTCGACCCAATGCATGGTTGCGGGGTGTTCAGGGTTACAAAATTCACTTTGTGCAAGAACCCTTTCAAACCGTCTCCCCAAGGGAGATTGTATTTCAAGAGGAGGAAACGAAAAAGATCTCAGAAGTTGTCGCAATACAAAGCAAACATGCGATTTCCGAAGTAATGCCTGCAGATCAAACGAACAATCAGTTTGTGTCTCAACTCTTCGCTGTCCCGAAGAAAGACAGAGCGATAAGACCGATTATCAATCTGAAAGCTCTGAACCATTTGTGGAAGTGTCCCATTTCAAAACGGAGGGTATACACATGTTGAAAGATCTGCTGAGACCAGGCGATTTCATGACGAAAGTCGACCTGAAAGATGCGCACTTCATGATTCCCATTGCCAGGGAATATTGCCGCAGACCAGCGAAAGTTGCTGCGTTTTGCATGGCAGGGAAAGATGTATCAGTTCAACTGTCTGCCGTTCGGACTATCGTCAGCCCCGCGGGTTTTTACCAAGACCTCAAGGGCGGTGATAATCACACTCAGGACTGAGGGTGATCATTCATATCGACGATATCCTGAGCATGGCGGAGAACGAGACAAACGACCACACGGCCGGTCTGATTTTCCTCCTGGAGAATCTAGGGTTCATTGTGAATTGCCAGAAACCACAACCGAACTCCACCAAGGAGATAGATTTTCTCGGCTTAATACCGGTGAACTCCGAGAATCTGACAATCAGATTGCCGGGAGATAAATTTACCGTGAAGAAAACACGATCAGATGCAAAAAATTGCGAGAGGAAAAAACACACTCAGCAATTTCTGTAACTCACCTGTTGCATGTTGGGCAAACTGAGCCATGCTGCACATGCGATTCCACCAGGTCCTTTGTTCTATCGAAACCTTCAGGGCTGTTTGCAGAAAGCCCTAGAGGAAGGATCTCAGAATTACGATCATCCTTGTCTCTTGAGCAGCGAAGCTCTGGAGGAATTGGACTGGTGGATCGATCACCTGACAGCCTGGAACGGTCGTCGTCTTCTCACGCCGAAACCAGACCTGGTGATAGAGACGGATGCCTCGACAGTGGGCTGGGGATCACCTTGCCAGAACTCCCAAACAGGCGGTCCGTGGAGTTGTCAGGAACGAGAGATGCATATAAACTGCTTGGAGCCGTTAGCAGCCTTCCTGGCTGTAAAAGCATTTCTGAAGTCAAGTCGAAATCTTCTGGTTCACCTGAAGATGGACCGTGAACACCACAGCATTGACGTATATCAACAAGTTCGGAGGCACTGTGTCTCCCGACCTCAATCGCCTCACTAAAGAGGTGTGGACATGGTGCATGGCAAGACAGATAACTCTCCAGGCCACTCACTTAGCAGGATCACTGAACACAGTTACAGACGAGGAGTCTCGCGTGATGAAAGATCGATCGGACTGGATGTTGCATCCAGATGTATTCCAGGAGATCTTTGCTCGAATGGGTCCCATGAATGTAGACCTGTTTGCCTCTCGGCTGACACATCTCCTGCCGATGTATGTGAGCCGGCGTCCCGATCCAAATGCAATAGACGTGGATGCCTTCTCGGACTGGACAAAGTGTCAAGGTTATGCCAACCCACCTTGGAACCTGATAAGCAGAGTAGTAGCACAGGTCTGCCCTCAGAAATCTCGGATAGTGCTTGGTGCACCGGTATGGCTGAGTCAACCGTGGTATCCAGCCCTCCTGGACCTGCTGGTAGAGGAGCCCCTGTTGCTTCCCAGCACTCCAGATCTGATTCAGCCGACGCACAGCGTAAACGAACCGGAGATTGTCCCTCGTCTAGCCGCCTGGAACATCTCAGAAGAAAGTACACCAGTCAGAATGTTTCTGAGGAAGCTTCAGAACTCCTCCTTGCATCATGGAGGCAGAAATCCACGAAGACGTATGACTCCCTATTCAAAAAATGGATGGGCTGGTGTCGTGAACGGAACAATGATCCCTTTTCAAGTGATATAGCCACGATTGTCAACTTCCTGGCATCATTGTACAAAGCTGGTTATCAATACCGCTCTATCAATATTGACAATAATTACAGATCAGCAATTCCTGCCGTCCAGAAAAAGAAAGAAAAAACTGACAGGTATGACACTGGTCAACACCCAATGGTATCTCGTGCGGGTATCGATACTAGTATCTTCAAAGCACACTCTGTGCAGAGTGCTTCTGCATCCGCAACAGCGGATGCAGGTACAACTACGAATGATATCTTGAAAGCAGCAGACTGGAGCAGCCGGTCGGTCTTTCAGAAGCTCTATTATTAAACCCCAGCATGATGAGAAATATGCTCAGCCAGTTCTCTCGAAGCTGTCAACCACTGGCAGAGAGCTACAAAATCACATTGATATGGAGACAGAGCATTCTGAAGTATAATTACAGAATGGCTCAGACCACGCAGTGGTTGCCAGCTATTCTGGATTATATGAAGAATGTGATGTCGAACATATCAATGTCCCAACCCTGACCCTCCCTGTGTTATAATGCACATAATATGCTTGTTCCGAGGCTCGCTATTCAAAAGGCCGAAGAACATAGAGGGAACAAGGGCTTTTATCAACGAAACCTGGTGTTCCACGCATGCGTTAACACCAAGGATTCAAATAAAATCACAAAATTCATGAATTTTCACTACAAAAAAGCTATCAAGAGTTAGGAAACTAGGCCAAACACATTGATATGTTCGACATCACATTCTTCATATAATCCAGAATAGCTGGCAACCACTGCGTGGTCTGAGCCATTCTGTAATTCCACTGCGGCTGACCCCACGGACACTGAAGGCGAAGAAACAACACCAACACTAGCTGCAGCGACAGTTTGTTCGACTGGAACCGGTTCAGGAATGGTTTTAGCTACTGCTTGCGCTGGAGACGCCAGCGCCAGCCCGGCTAAAGCAGCGACACTGGCATGGCAGGAACATCGGTACTCTGCACAGCGCTGGTTTCGAGTGCCACTTGCACATCGAGCCACTCGAAATAATCAGGAGCGACGTGCCTGGGCACTGAGATCGTAACCCTCTGCTCGCCTCCGCTGGAACAGAGCGACTTTATCCGCAGTTCAGGTTCTCTCACGTTCTTTCTCCATTTCTCACGACTACTCTCGGCTGACCAACTCCAAATCGCTCTACAGAGTACAGTATCTCAAAGAATCAAACCCTCCAGCAACAAGGACAAAGCGAAACAAAATAATTTTGTCAAGAAAGCACAGCAGGAAGACGTGTCGTGGGTTGCGATGACAGCGCGAGCGCTAGCGCGAGCGCTAGCGCTCAGGCGCTAGGCGTAGCTATCCAACGCCATTTTTGCACCATGGCAACGCATCTTCGGCAATGATCTGAGTGTTCGCTTTTGTTCAGTTTTCACCTGAGTACGAGTAGACCTACTGCGCGTTGTGCCAGAACTTGTCGAGTAGCGACTTTGTCCTGCTCTAAACAGTTTGAGCAATGGCCAGCGAAGTAGAGAAAGCGCAGTCTGCTGCGCCGGAGGAAGACACTATCTTCGGCAAGATATCTCGTGGAGAGATCCCCTGCAAGTTTGTTTACGAAGACGACACGGTAAACATTGGGAGGCCCATGTTTTTCTCAATCGAAACATTCAGGAAATATTTTCAATAACACATAATTTCCACACTGTCCCTTTTGCAGGCGTTGGCCTTTGACGATCTGGCCCCACAGGCACCGGTTCACTTCCTCGTCATCCCACGCAAGCCCATTGCCCAGCTCTCTAAGGCAACTGATGAAGACGAAGCCGTAAGAGCAATACCCTAAACTTTTGTTGATTTCCTCATGCTGTGGATAGTCCACGATGGTGTCTCCGCGAGCAGATATAAACGGTCATGCAAATGCACAGCAGCCAGTATGCTGCTAACTACTGGTGGCATTTCGCGGTACAGACTTTTCCGGTTGTCTCTTTCCCTCAAACCAGTTAATATTATTTAGCTCGTATGTTTCGAGTCGAAAATAAACCTTGCAACTCGAGTAATATCCGCCAGACAACCACGCTGTACTTCACGGCTGTTCATATGATCACGTCAGCGGACATCTAAGATGGCGTCGGCTTTGAGCATGAGTCATTTGAAAGTTCTGCTCGAAATATTTTTCCTAAACTTATCGCAGCAAACCATGGTATCTTGGGCTTCCTTCGAGGCTGCTATGGGCGCGCTCACACTGCGATCATGAGCACGCGTCCATGCGTCAGCAAAACGCAGAAACGTGGCAGTCGTGCTCACACTAGGCCTCGTACACGCGTAGACGTGAACTTGTCACACAAACTTTACGAATTGCAGTTCGTATCCAAAAGAGTTCGTGCGTTTCCTAATAAAGTTGTGGCCCGTTTTGGATGTAATTTTTCGCATGTTGCATGTTGGAGGAAGTGCCTCGTGGCTCGTATTCTTGAAGTCGACGAAAATAATTCATACAATCAGGTAGGTTTGGACTCTTGAGGGACTGCCGCTGACATCCAAGCGCTTTCGCTTTCCTGACCTCGTGGTCAGAGCAAGTGCCAGTGCAGTGGAAATTCCGGTAGTGGTTTCTTTCGTCTGTTGCCGAGATGAGAACTGTATTTTCCGATGATATGTAACTGAAATGTCTTGAGGTATGGCATTCCATCATCGATCGGGATGCATCGCAGAAAAGTAGAGAAAGATAATTTCCGAAACCGAAAAGCCAGACCAAGCTGCCATCGTATTGAACGAGTACACTGTAGAAATTGGTCACTGACCCGATCACAACGAAGCAACTACAAAAACAAAATCGACATCGTCCAAAAAGGGCAAAGAATGCATATATGGCGGTGCGTGCGTGCAGGACCACAACTACAAAATTTTAAAAATGTGCAAATGTCGAGGTGACATCGACAACCACCGATTTTCATGAATCAACACACCGGAATTTGAGAAATTGAACATACTTCAGGCCAGGTTGTACACAAATACGCTTCACGTCTACGATCATGTTGCCGCCAAGTCGTGGCACCCCCCTCCGGAGGTCGGGGTCACGATTTGAAACGTGGCCGCGACGTTTTGGTCAAGTTCATGCCGTTGCCATGCAACTTGGCCGCATGGCCGCATGGACGCTGGTTTTGGTCGCAGTGTGAGCGCGCCCTAACCAGCAACTCGCGTTTTTCCAGGAGAGGAAGGAAAGAGCAATCGTTTGATACCTCACTCGATGACGAGCGTCGTTCTGGTCCCGATCGGCGAAGAGAAGTGCTCTAATTTATTTTCGTCGTAGCTATTGTTGTATGTTATAGTGTAGCCGTTTTCCTGCTCCCAGAGAAGCGTCCCTGGAGTTTTCCCGTGCTTACTCGGAGTTTTCCTGGTTGGCCCAAGGCTTCGACCATCCGATAAACATAAATTCGTGAGCGGAAGTTCGTACATTTTTTTGGAAGTTCGTGGAGATGTTTGTGCACTTTTTGTGATTTTAGGGCTCAATGTATGGTCCTCTGCATATCCTGGCATCTGTATGTTGGGTCGTTGGCCAAAAATTTGCTGATTAGCCTTGTAATGCTAGATACTTTGCATCTGAGCATGAAAACGGCCTCAAGGGCATGGGAATGATATTTCGGAGGACTTCAACGCCATCATGCCGCTGCGACTGTCACGCACAATTGTGATACATGGCAGCCGCACTACCAAGTAGTGATAGCTGTGCCTTGTGTTGAGTTTGAGTACATGTACAACATGCCTTGGAAACTACATATACCACACAATCAAACGTATGCACAGCACGAGTACGGAGCTGCCGAGTCCTCGAAGACGCTCGCACCACGATCTGGTGGTAGCGGCATAGCACAATAGAACGCACACATCACACTACCATGACTACTACGTCAAGCCACAACTGACAACCGTTACGTGCCTACAACAGGTAATCTACAATTATGTACATGCCATCAATTGTGTATTCACAGCCTACGGCACAACTTCCGATGAGAAATATATCACAATATGAAGAGAACATATTATTTAGCAGGGAGGTAAACTGGGTGTAACTCCAGCCACACAACACAGGCATAAGTCACAGGCAAAAGCAAGAGAGGATTTTTCTGCACTCATAGTCATGGCTGCAAACCCACACGCACGTGCACGCTCAGACGTGCGCAGACACACACGGCAATAAGGGAAATGACCACATACTTAGTGTAGGACCAGGCGCGTGCACCGTATTAGTTTTTTGGTGTCTGGAAACCACCTTTTTCGGGCAATCTTGCCAAAAGAAAAGCGTGTAGTACTGGATTGGTTATCCTGCAAACGTATCGATCGACGGGCAGTTTACAGTACAGTGACTATGTCCGTATTTCGAAGTGAAAGAGATGCTTTGCATGCAGTTCGAAATACATTATTCTCTTTTTCTTCAGTGGAGAGTAGCCACGGAGGGATTGATCTCTAGCTCTGGTTCGCTCCTGGATTGGCGATGACGTTCAAGAAATCCGTTTTGTCTCGAAATTTGAGTCAAGCACGCGCGATGCAAGTCAGTTCCAGGATATGATTGACGATATCTCCTTCCAAATCGTTGACTCAAATCAAGATCGCCACAGCCTTTCGTTCTCGCTCATGTGCGCAGCAGAGATGTTCGTCAAAAACGTTGTCGACTGGAAGACGTAAAAATGTGCGTCCATGATCCACTTGCGCTGCTTCAGAACGAAGCGCTGCTCCGGCCGCGACTCAAGGACGCGGGGCTTCGCTTTTCTTCCGCGAGCTTCCATCGAAGCAAGGTCCATAACTCTCTATTGAAATCATGTGGAACATTGCCAATACATGCTGAAAACTTGGTCATAAGAACAGAAAGAAAGATACGTCGAATGTAAGCAGTGTTTTGATGGAACAAACAAGCCTGGAGTGGACTAGTGAAGTACCATAGTCTGATAGACATGGTGTTATCGACTGTAGTGTAGCCTGGGCAGCTAGGACTATCAAACCTTTACGTGTTCAATTATGACAAACATGTATATGAGTACTTCGAGTACATTGACTTTTGCACCCTCTTTGCAAATGCTTTTTGAAGTGCTGGTAATATGTAAAAGGTAACCCGTTTCATCCTGCCATCGATTATACATGTACCAACATTTCCATGTAACCGGCATCGGCGCGTCCCCTCCCTCCATTCCTCTTTATTCTTATTTCTGTCCTTTCTACCCCTGTACCTGGTTCCCTCTCAGATGCGTTTGTGCTGGCATGATCTGATGATAGCAGTCGGACGAGCCCCACATCTCATCAGCACCAGTGTTCATTGGTGCCCTGCACCCCTGATCTTGAGCCCCCCCCCCCTCCCTCCTCCCTAGCCGGCTGCCTTCGCCGTTATCTCCGACGGGATGTTCCGGGGATGCGCATGTGCACAAAATTCATACATAATAATTATGCAATGGGGCCCCAGAAAAAATTACCAACTCTAGAAACCCCCCTTTCAAGACTCGGTGCACGCCACTGAGGACTACCACTCAACAATGGAGAAAGCACATAATTCCACATCAAAAGTTCAGTTGAGGACTGTGTTTTTCTTGGGTCAGACTCGTCGTGGAAATGACAATGCACTGAGCTACCAATAACTATGGAGTGTCGGGATTAAGTGGTGTCCGACTATGCTTACACACTTCCACTGTCCAAAGGCGGTGGATGTCCTGCCTGTTGACGTGTCAGATGAGGGGAAACAGTCACGCACCTTGCTGACCCTCAGGGCTGACCATAGCGCTTTCGTTGCGGCTGGTTCCCAATTGTCGGTTGCGACGCCGCGTAACAGCGTTATTCGGGCCCTGATTCTGCTGGTCGAGATCAGCCACACCGTTGCGCCAGTGTTGTATCTAGACCTACTAGGGATCCATTCCTGGATCTACGTTGCATCGATGCTGGTAGAGATCCGCCAGCTCGATAACTGCTTGATCTGCACAACACCAGCCGCATCCAACGGCAACAGCAACGGGCAGTACACAGCATTGGTCACACTACATGCCAAGCTGCGGCAATGCATAGCCGGCGCAAAAGTAGCCAAGCAGAAGGCCACACGCATTGAAGGCTGGTTCGGCTACTCGCGTAGCTCTGCAAGGCCATGAGCAGTGCATCGCCGGCAGCGTTTCGGAGGTTGTGCCCACGACTTGATTCAGCACGAGTTGCAGGCAGCATTGCATGATCAGACTGGCAATTTCAGGTGACTGTTCGTTGCTGACTCTCCTGCTCACTCCCACGGTACCGTTATAACTACAAGGTAGCTCATCCATACAGCTAGTAGTACTGTGCGGTGCTCTTACGTAGTTCAATAATACTAATCCTAACCGTTCGAACCCTCGTCGGATTTTTTTCCCAGTGGCTGCCGAATTCTGAGCGTCATTATGTCTTTCTCCAACGAAACCACTGTCTAGAAATTCAGACTTGCACTTTTGTCTTCATTTCCATTGTGTTGAGGATATCGCAGAGCTCAGCAGCAACATCGAGCATTTCCCTAAGCTCATGCAAGCCTTGTGACGAGATCGTGAAAAGAAACAAACGGCACCTCATCCCTAAGCTGCACCTCTTAGAGATGCACGCCGTGCCAGCTATGATTCGACTCCATGTTGGCCTTGGCTTGCTAGGTGAGGAAGGCTCAGAGAGCATCCATGCGGACTCTCAACTCGGACTCTGGAGAAGCGTTTCTCGCAGAATCCTGCGCCCATGAAACGGCTCGAAGCAACACAGCGCCTAACAAGAACGCTGCCCAGATCCAGGCCCCTCGGCGTAGCCGTAGCTAAGGCATGGAGGAAAACGGCAGCCGTTACTATCCTTCTCCTTGGGCTAGCTCACTCCATAGTGACTAAGTCATTGAGTACTCTCTGCTTCTGCTTCGCCAGTTTATTTTTTTCATTTTGCTTGCATGATCTTCGCGATCGATCTCGTCTGAGGACTCCCAAACTCAATTTACCTAAGGTTACCTACTTGATTCTGCTTGATTCGAGAAGGAATCACCTGAAACCACACGAAGTTCATAAACCAAACGTGTAAAGTGTAAGTTTGCGATTTACCAGTTAATTGGCCGCCATTTTGATAGATGGCCGCAGATGAACAGCCGTGACTTCACATGATAGAGTCTGGGTCATGGAGTACATGGTATACTGAACATTCGGTTTATTCAATTGGATTCAGTGCTGCCCTATGCGGAGTAATGACGGACCGTATTTTCCGGATTACAAGCCGCACACACTTAAAAACACTCGTAATCCCCCCTCTCCCCAAAGTCAGTGAAGCTCATTCTACGATGGTCAAATGATTAATTTTTGTGATGTACAGGGTAGATGTGTGTATTTGGTGACAAAACATCTGGGTGCAGCTTATACTCCAGTGTGCGACGTATATGCCGGAAAATGTGGTACCTTTACCGGACTCTGGGAGACTGAACCCACGGCGAAGATTTTTATTTAGGTCCTAGCAAGAGTGCATAAACAAGAGTATGCAACTGTGGTTATGGGTCAGTGCGCGGCGCGCCGCCTTCATTACGTAACTTCCCTCCATCACGCTATGAAAGCATGCACTCAAACCCACAATTTCCCGTGCGAGCCTATCCGTTTTTGCTCGATTCACTACAGTACCTACGTGATGTCTAAATTTCGACGCGCGAACTCCAGTTCCGTACAAAAGTTCATTTCAAGTCAGAGTGAAAGTGCGGTGTTTGATTTTCCGCAGTGCGCGGACTGAAGCTGAATGATGTAATGAAGGCAGCGTGTCGCGCATCTGGCCCATAGAAAAGAGATCACAGTTGCATACTCTTGTTTATGGACTCTTGGTTATTGTAACTCACCTGTGCTGCATCTCACACCGGTTTGCACCGTCGTTTAGCCATACGACCGAGGCGATTTCTGTGGCGTGTTGCGCGCACAGGTGGCGAAACGTGCTCGCCGGGAATTGTCCTCGATCACCTGAGCGATGCAGCAATGTGCCTCTGAACTTACATAATGAGCGACTCATGATGACCTATGCAAAAAAATGGCTGTGGGACTGGTTTTATGCAGCACAGATGTGTAGTGGCACGTTCAGGTTTATTGACTCTTGGTAATACCATGAATACGGTAATAGCCTCCAGGCAAGCTGCGAAGGTGTGAGAAGCACACGGCTCTGCTAATCATAATATTATGGGCCTGCTTTTCATGGATCTAGTGCGAGCAAAATTCAGGACGGGTTTCATTTTTGCCGTTCTTATTTCATGCTACAAGTTTGACAGATTGTTACTAAGATACGGAAACTTACTTGCTCCTGTGCTGCAATTGACGTATAGCAATAACTGGACAAGTCCTTTTTCTCTGTACTACCACGTACATGTTGTTAGGCTGACACAACTTGACAGCATGTTACAAGACGAAGGACTTGTAACATGCTGTCAACCAAGCAACATGTTTTCAACCAACCAATGCTTACCTATTAGTACTGTGCCTGTTTCTGCTGTATGTGTGACAGCTCCTCGGCCATCTGCTGACAGTGGCACGCAAGGTTGCGGTGCAGAAGGGACTCGACGCCGATGGCTACCGCGTGTTGATCAGCAACGGCAAGAACGGCAGGCAGAGCGTCTACCACCTGCATCTGCACGTCCTCGGCGGGCGCCAGATGAGCTGGCCACTGGGATAAGACATTCAGGGGCGGATCTAGAGATCTCTACAGGGGGGGGGGTTCCGGTTGAACCAAAATTGAACAGCCAAAATATTATGGAATCAGATTGTTTTGAAGTTGTGCGGTTGACACATGTAATTACGACAATCCGATTGTGTTAGTGGCAATCGCATGCTTTTAAAACACACTACAGACATACCGGTATATTTTTCCATCATCGACCACACCATAACTGCGCCCTCCAGCCGGCCTCGACACGTAACCATGGTAACGTTGCCACAGCACACGTACACCACCATCGCTGGAGCGCGCAGTTGTGGTGTGGTGGACCGGTGGACGATGGAAAGCCTGTACAGGGCCAAATGCTGCTGCTTACCCCACATTGTATAATTATTCTTTAGTACGGACCCATAATCATAATATACTTGAGTACATGTATGCAATCGACTGCCGGGCACACAGGTTCAGTGAGGGCTTGAAGACCCTTTCAACTATGTCTACCTCCCCTTTTATGTTGCTGGCCAGTGCTTTGTAGTAAAAAAAAAATTGAATATGCAAGCCATGGGTACGTTGAGAGCCAGGAATGACAACTAAACTTTCCCTGTCCATTTGTACTTTAGGAAATTTTGTCATTTTTACGATGCGAAATGGTCTATAGTCACAGGACAAGAGCATCGTCTTCACTTCAGTGACAGAAACAACAACAGCGAAACAGTGTCGACAATTGCACAATCCTTCCAATGTCATGTAAAACACATCGCTGGCGCACCACTCCGTTCCTGCGGAGGAACAACTAGTGACTACTAGTATACTGCATGCTGCAGCAGGTATAGATTACTGACTTTGAGCCCTCATCTTCTGAGGAGCTTGAACTCTACGTGTACGATTCGAAGTTCGTTGAAGAGTGTCATCACTCGGAACATCCTTTCTCTTCTGCAAAACACTTGTCCAAGGAATACTGACCGCACCCATCCTGAGCAGCAGTGAATGACAGCGCCAATGGAGGTAAGTTTGGATCGTTTATCGTTTCGAAAGATCGAAAAGGAAACAACCACCCAATGTTGTCTACATGTGTCCGTTTGTAAATCACGGACGTGAACACCAGTACAGACTACATAACCCCATGTACTCTTGCTACTACCGGTATACCATGGTATACATGCAGCCGGTATGGATCTACCGAACGCGCATGCAGTGCACTGACTGACTCTACGTGTACGATTCGAAGTTCGTTGAAGAGTGTCATCACTCGGAACATCCTTTCTCTTCTGCAAAACACTTGTCCAAGGAATACTGACCGCACCCATCCTGAGCAGCAGTGAATGACAGCGCCAATGGAGGTAAGTTTGGATCGTTTATCGTTTCGAAAGATCGAAAAGGAAACAACCACCCAATGTTGTCTACATGTGTCCGTTTGTAAATCACGGACGTGAACACCAGTACAGACTACATAACCCCATGTACTCTTGCTACTACCGGTATACCATGGTATACATGCAGCCGGTATGGATCTACCGAACGCGCATGCAGTGCACTGACTGACTGAGTCTGTACTCCTTGACTCAGTGACTGCACTGACTGTGATCGGACGGACGTCCTTTTGTGCACACATGATATTTTTCGATATTTCTCAGCACCACACTTTGCAAAATTTAGGGGGTTCCATGGAACCCCCGGAACCCCCTCCCCCCCTGGATCCGCCACTGACATTGATACCGCTGTCACATTCGTCCACTGTATAACCCAATTTGCTTACTCACATGTTGCCACCTTTCCACAAATTTCTTCCGCCATGTTCAAACTAGCAGCCCAACAGCTTTTTTAGTATGTTTTTGCATGTTTTTGACTGTCTGACAACAGCAAGCAGTAGGATGGAAGTTATTTTTCTGAAAGCGTCTTGTGGTTTTGAATTCGCTAATAACGTGCGTGTGTGTGTGTGTGTGTGTGTGTGTGTGTGTGTGTGTGTGTGTCAGCTAGCTAAAATGGAGTTCAGTTGGTGGGTACACGTATGCCAGATAGTGTTGGGTCTGTTGCTAACAGGCTCGGCTGAAGGGGTATCGTTGTACCTGCCATCTTTGTTGGTTTCGGGGCTCGTATACTTTCTTTTCAAAGTACACATACCTGTTGACCAATGCACTACTTTCAGCAAACTGTTGTGCCAGCGATGTCTACCTGTGCATGGTAGTGGCTTTGACGTGGTCTCTGACAGCCGGTTGCCCTCGCACGTTGCACACGTTCAATGTCAGAGAACTGTGGTGGGGTTTCCAAGAGTGCATAACTCTTATGTGCTCTTGGTATTACTTAGTAGACTGCTTTCACAGCCATTAGTTTTTCACCTGATTTTTGTAATTTATGCTAAAGTAACTACCGTATTTATAGTACCAAAAAAGAAGAAGAGAGAACTGTGGCCTTACACACGTGCGCGTGCACCACGTGATTGCTGAAAGACGATACATTTCTTGAGAATATGCTAAGCAGTCAAGCCCCCCACCCCTACCCTCAACAAGCCGTGCATGTGCGCTGTGTGACACTTTTCCTTTTGCTGATGATCCACGAGCAAAAGGCAAAAGTCTCCCGGCAAACGCACCATGTTTTTTCCCACCCGGCTCAAAGAGTTCAAAGAGGGCTTGGGTTTTCAATTTTAAAATCCTGGGTGGTGCCTGCCACTCAGTACTGTAGTGCAAAAACAGAAAAAAGTAAAGTAGAAATAAAAAAATATTAAAAGGCTACAATGGAGCCACTAGTACAGGCGCTCTCATTGTCGGTTTCATTGAATTCGTCATCCTAATTTCTTGATGGCTGCAAGTAAGGGCTTCTTCAGAAAAGTGGTGGAAGCTGATGCTGCAGTCTGCAGGGTGCCGACATGAGGAAGCATCTGCAGTCAACACAAACATTTTGGTAGATTAGAAAAGAACGAAAACAATCGCTCTCAAAGCCGAGTAGCAAAGTGGCACTGCAGTTTCCTGGACGTGCTTTCCATTACTCCCCCGGGCCAGGTGGTCAGACTAAGCCTTTCCTATTTTGAAGAATTTCTTCAAGCACTAGACTGCATGGCACCGTATGCATGTTTTATGAGTATGTCTCTGTATGACCAAACATGACCTTAGGATTACCATAGCAAGCTGCGGTTGATGAAACTATGGATATGCTTCTGAAGTAAAGATTTTTGTTTTAGGTTGCAAATTATGCTGTAATTTCACAAATTGTCGGTGTACTTTTATTTTCGATATGTTCGGTGCATCTGTTTCACACCTAAAATTTCAATACTCTCCTATCTCTCGTAACATCTTTTGAAGCCAGGTGAGACGACGGGTGGTGGAGATTGACGAATGAAATAATGTCGTAGGTTTGAAAGTTTGCTGAAAATGTATCAGGAGAGATGGCGAGTACCAAGCATCTTCTCCAAGAGGAAACCATTTCCTAGGCACAGTCAGCCTAGGGAAATGCAGGAGAAGGCGGATGAACAGCTCACGGCACAAACAGCATTGAACACAGCACTTCTTTCGCATCGTGAATACAATAAGACGATTGAAAATGACCAATTCCTGCAGTGATCGACCTTCTCTGTGGTGGAGCTAAGCCTTTCGTACGTCATCACTCCGCTGGTCGCTATGGCAACGCGAGTATGCAATTGGCTATTTGGCAAGTTTGGCTTATCGTATGGAAGCGAGAGATATGCCATTCGAACCGATATCAAATTGCCTTTCTTCTGGACCCTACTCGAAAAACCGATGCACTTCCCAAAATCAATGCATTTCCCCTTTAATTCCAAACGAAAATTTGTCCTTAGACAATAACTACTCTAGTTGCTTGCACCTTTCAAGCGGTAAGAAGTATTACTCTAGCCTCTACTGGCTCTAGTTCACTCGTACATGGTGTGGTGTTTCTCGTAACTCGCCGTGCGTCGGAGCAGTGGTGGCGGAAACGCCTCCAAAGGGAAAATGCCATTTCCGTGATGCTTGGCTGTCAACGCCGGAGTTCCGCAAGTGGCTAGTAGCTACTCTGAGCGACGAATTCAGAGCACGATGCTCACTCCGCAGGTCAGATTTTGATATGTCAGGCGGCGGTATCTCCTCAGTCAAGAGTCACGCGAAGGGCAAAAAGCATTGTGAAGCTGTGGAGAGGAGAACTCCAGCTTTGACAGTGAATCGTTTCTTCGTCCCGTCGTCAAACAGCTGTATCTGATAGCAGCAGCGCCAGTGCCAGCAGCAGTACTAGGCACATACTTCCAAGACCTGCTGCAGAAGCAAGTTAACAAGGCAGAGTCATTCGTGGTGCTATTTGACGAGAGCCACACTTTCAAGACGAAAACCACACAGATACGTCTATGGAGTTCTGGTCTGGATTGCGCCTCTGTAGCAACTCGCTACCTTACATCAGCGCATCTGGGTCACTCAACAGCCAACGATCTGCTGCACCATTTCCATGCCGCAACCGATTAACTCGGCCTCAGCAAACTGGTCCAGGTGTCAATGGATGGACCAACGGTATATTGGAAATTTCACCGATTGCTGAAGGAAGAGCTCCAGCGCACAAACAACAAATCTATTGTTGATATCGGCAGCTGTGGCCTACACGTTGTGCACATGGCTTTCCAGGATGGAGCAAGAAAATCTGGGTGGGGTGTGATTGCGCTGTTGAAGGCTCTCTACTATCGTTTCAGGGACAGCCCTGCAAGACGAGAAGACTTCACAAGAGTTACAGACTCCAGTCTTTCCTCTGAAATTTTGCCAGCACCGATGGGTAGAAACTCTGCCTGTAGCAGAGAGGGCTGTGAGTGCGTGTAGCAGCATTGCTTCGATGGCGAGGGAGGTGCAGCCATTCCTCACCAAGTTCCAGACTGACTGCCCAATGGTGCCATTCCTGCATAGTGCCCTGGAGTCCCTGTAGTAACCGTACCGCTAGTTCAGAGGTTGCAGGAGGCAAACCCCGATGTCGACCAGGAGTGGTATGCCGACGACGATGCAGCTGGCGGTGATATTAACTCCCTCGCCAGCCACTGGTTAGATGTTCACATTATCGGACCTGAGTATGGATACAATCCCAATCCCACGAAGGAAGACCACTCTCCTGGTGAAGCCTCAGTGCCTGGACCGGGCTAAGGAAGTGTTCCAGGGGACGGGAATCTGCGTCACGGGGGCGGGTCACCAATATCTCGGCGGGATCATTGGCAGTGAAGAGTATTGCCATCGTGCCGGAGACAGGTACGTCACCTACTGGCGACGGGAGCTGATGACTCTCGCTGCAATGGCCGAAATGCAACCCCAGGCCGCCTACGCTGTGCTCACAAAGGGCTTATCGTCCAAATGGTCCTACCATTTGAGAGCATCATCGATAAACACCCGTCACCCTGGCCCCTCTAGATGAGGCATTGGATTATCATTTTCTTCCTGCCCTTTTGGGCCAGGGAATGGCAGCTGACAGCTCGCTGAGACAGCTTCTGTCCCTCCCGACAAGATTCGGGGGCTTGGCTATCCCTGCGGTAGCTAAGTCCGCAGAGGCAGACCATCAAGCATCACTTGTCATCACGGCGTCAATGGTGAACTTGATCGACACCCACCGTAACGAGAGCGTCCGAGACTCTCCAGCCATCAGTCCGGACCAAAACACGCAGAGCATCTTGGCCATCGCAGAGGGCATGGCCAATCCTGTTCTAGAAGCCGTTGGCGAGGCACGAGGCATCGCCCGACAAAAGCGCCAGGAAAAAACGGTGGATGCCGGCAGGTCCAGACAGAGCTTGCCGAGGGGCTTTCACCGGTCCAGCGGCAGCTGCTCGCAGTAGCGGATGAGAAAGGCGTCTCAACATGGCTAACAGCACAACCGTCCTGGACAAATCGCACCGTGCTGAAAAAGTCGGATTTTAGAGATGCGCTATGCATACGATATGGTCTCCCACTGGACGGTGTAAGTGATCATTGTGTCTGTGGGAAGTCCATGACCACCCACCACGCCCTCACGTGCCCAACCGGCGGCTATCCGTCGGCTCGCCACAACGAGCTTCGGGACCTCATGTCGGGCGTACTGCAGGAGGTACTGCCCGATGTGGAGATTGAGCCACGTTTGCTACCACTACACGGTGAGGACATCTGCGACCTCCGCTAATCGTCAGCCAGAGGCACGCCTGGACATACGGGCTAGGGGTTTCTGGTCGCGGCAGCAGGACGCCTTTTTCTGATGTAAGGATCACTGACCTTGGGCCGTCCTTGCTGTCTCGTCCGGAAATCCTTAGCCACCTGAGAACACATGAGAGAATGAAGAAGGCAGCGTATGGTGCCAGAGTCAACCAGGTGGAGAGAGCATCATTCACCCCACTGGTATTTTCGACCTCGGGTGTGGCGGGCAAGGAAACTACTATATTTCTGAAGTCGCTAGCTGCTCTGGTTGTAGACAAAAACAAAGACTTGGTATATTCTGCTGTGATGGGTGAGTTACGCACCCGGATTTCATTTTGCCTGCTGCGATGGGCAGTCACGTGCTTTAGGGGCTGCGGGCCTCCTAGTCCTACATTCGCCGCAAGGTCAGGAGCCCCTTTGCAGCTTATTGCCGCCGGCTCTGCTGACACTGCTGACACGGGCAGAGGCGTGACCGTTCGCCTTTGCATGCCGGTAGGCATTTTTATTAGGTAACGATTTCTTGTGAAGTTTTTGCGTTCAATTTTGTATTTCAATTGAGTGTTCTATTTATTTCCGAAATTGGGTTGTCTTTTTGCTTTGACTCTTACTTCATGGTGTTGTGAATAAAACCGTTCTCAAGCAAGAGTACGTGACATAACCCGGCGTGTGTGTGCAGAATGAAGTGCAGATCTGCCGATGATAATCACAAGAGTACATAACCCAGGCCCAGCACTGGCAGCAGTCACGGTTATGTAGACTACAGTCCATTTCAAAACTATAGACGCGTACCTAGGCAAAAACCGTTATGCCAGCATCTATAGCGGCACATGTAGCTCTCTCCTAAAAGAAATTTTCCATACCCGCTCCTCCAGTGCACATAGTACTACTGCCGTCACTAGGTCCCAAATCTCTTTTTCTCTGGCCTTGCCTTCTGCCCACACTAAAGCTGGTTTTTCTCGTCTTGGCTACATACATGTAGGTTCTGATCGCGATCGGTGGAATATGATCCACTGTTCGCTCTTGTACAGATTATCGCCCATTTGTTCGTTCATGCTTTACCTTTCTACTTTTCTGTAGGGGCTCCCGTAAGAAGACCATAGCCTAGGTCTGTGGGAAACACCCTAGTAAAATAAATAAAAATTTAATAATAATAATAATACCACATAAAATCTGTGATCACTTTGTGCATAATTTTTTCCAAATTGGGTGTCTGTTATCCAATCGTTTAGAAACTATATGAGAGTAATTGTGGAGCGGACCTGAGCTGAGCAATATTCCGAAAACTATTCTCAAAAAGCTCCAGCCAAATTTGAAATATTTCAAAAACCCTACGCGTGATAGTTTTGAAATGGACTGTAGTAGGCACCAGCGGATTATGCCGGCATTGGCATAATTTGGTGGTTGAAAATTTGGAGCATAATTTGGCATCCTCTCGGAGGTAGGAGCATAACTACACGATTATACCACAGTTCTAGTATGTAGGCTACACAATTGTGTACAATGCACCTGATCAGTGCTGGTGCCAGTGGTGGTCTGCATGGTAAAGGGTTCGGAGGTCATGCAGATAGTGTTTTCAATGAAAAGCAGAGTAGAAATCGTGGCAATACAGTACCGGTATTGTATGCTCGAACTCGTCTTCTTCAAAGTTCTTTCTCACACTGACACAGTACATGTAGCAGAAGATGCGAATGAATCAGCCTTTATCAGGTATCCAGTAGCGGACGAGATAGTGGCGGGTAGTCCGCAAAACTCCGTGTACATGTACATGTACATTACATTTGTATATTATGCATGTTACGAAGTCATGACCTCTTGTAGTCTGGATTCAAGTTAGCAGCCATGATATGACTGCAGGCTATGGATATTGCTCGAAATTGATGTATAGTTGATGTTCGGTCATGATGAAAGGAGAAGTGGAGCTGCGGGAGAGATGAGCTGATTATTCGCAGGGTGAGGGTGACATCGGTTGGACGAGTATGATGACTATGAAGACCGTGAGTTGAACATGATAATTTTCAAAGGTAACTCAAACTAATTTGGCAATGAAATAAATAATATTTTTACTGAAGTACAAAAGAAGTCAAGTGATGAATAGAAGAAGTAATGTTTTCTCTTCTCCATGTTGATCTCTAACATGCATGGACACCTTGCAGCTTGGTATGGGGATACTCACGTATTTTGTTGTTCTTATGGCCACTTGCAACTTGCAAGTACGACAAGGCACAATTTTCCGAACTTTGAGGCTCCATAAGTACAACAAAGTGAATATAATATCCCCGAGTATTATGATATGAGGATTTTACGAGCATAATGCGAGAATCCATGGAAGCATAATTCCATGATTTCGCGAGCATAATCCGCCGGAGCCTAGACTGTAGTGTAGTGTGTACTCTTGAATGAGTCTTGATACCAGGGAGTCGTAAAATACCATATTTTACGACTCCCTGCTTGATGTAGACAATCATAGAGGTCTGGCAGGACTTTACGGCTGAATCAAGGCCGAGTGCGTACGGCCAAGGGCGCAGGCCAAGGCGCGTAGCGCCGAGGCCTGCGCCCGCGGCCGTACGCACGAGACCTTGATGAAGGCGAAAAGTCCTGCCAGACCTTTATGATGGTGTTTCAGGTTTTGTCTTTCGCCTTTCTGGTATAAAAGCAAGACACGTATAGGGGTGGTGGTCGGGGACGTAGTGGATTCAGCTTGTGAGTTTCAGCTCCTTCAGCTTGTGAGTTTCAGCTCCGTCCGCTTCTCATGGATGGGATGACCCTTGGTCCATGATCTTTCGCTTCCCCAAAATTATCAGAAAAGTTCGTCAACTCCTTTTTTAGCTTTTTTTAGGACATGTAGAACAGAAAGTGGAAAACTGATCGCGATGTGTGCCACTTATTTCAGCTTGCTTCTTAGCAGATAGATAGGTGCATGCTCTTTCGCTTATTCACAACTATCGTAAAATTTCATCTCCACTCACGACAACAAGAACTTGAGTTGAAAACTGACCACGATGTGTAGACACTTTTCATGTTGCCGTTTTTGGACAGGCTGTTTCCAGGTACCAGAGCATGTTCACAGTCGAATGTGAGATGCGAACTGAGCTGACAACGAAAAACTGCCACAGACCCCTGCAGAGCTAGGCTGACAGAGTACGGGGTGCCATTGACGACGGGCTTTATTGCTACCGTATTTTCCGTATCCATTGACCACGGGCTTTATCGGCTCATCAAGGCCACCGCGGGAACGTCGCTCATTGGCTACAACCATAGAAACGGTACGGTAAAAACCTGAAACTAGTAATCATGATTATTATTGATTATGTCATGGTCCTCGTCACGAGATACAATGACGTCACATGTTTTTTCATTCTAAAATTTTTCAATGCTGGTGGTTTGAAAAGACGTTTGCATGTTCGCTTTTGTTCAGTTTTCACCTGAGTACGAGTAGCGACTTTGTCCTGCTCTAAACGGTTCGAGCAATGGCCAGCGAAGTAGAGAAAGCGCAGTCTGCTGCGCCGGAGGAAGACACTATCTTCGGCAAGATATCTCGTGGAGAGATCCCCTGCAAGTTTGTTTACGAAGACGACACGGTAAACATTGGGAGGCCCATGTTTTTCTCAATCGAAACATTCAGGAAATATTTTCAATAACACATAATTTCCACACTGTCCCTTTTGCAGGCGTTGGCCTTTGACGATCTGGCCCCACAGGCACCGGTTCACTTCCTCGTCATCCCACGCAAGCCCATTGCCCAGCTCTCTAAGGCAACTGATGAAGACGAAGCCGTAAGAGCAATACCCTAAACTTTTGTTGATTTCCTTATGCTGTGGATAGTCCACGATGGTGTCTCCTTCATGGATTCTGTAACCGGCGACGGGAATCTTGTCTCTGCGAGCAGATATAAACAGTCATGCAAATGCACAGCAGCCAGTATGCTGCTAACTACTGGTTGCATGTCGCGGTACAATTTAGCTCGTATATTTCGAGTTGAAAATAAACCTTGCAACTCGAGTAATATCCGCCAGACAACCACGCTGTACTTTACATGATAGAGTCTGGGTCATGGAGTACATGGTATACTGAACATTCAGTTTATTCAATTGGATTCAGTGCTGCCGCTATGCGGAGTAATGACGGAGTACCATATTTTCCGGATTACAAGCCGCACACTTTAAACACTCATACCCCCCCCCCCCCCAAAAAAAAGTCAGTGAAGCTCATTCTACGATGGTCAAATGATTAATTTTTGTGATAATTATACAGGGTAGATGTGTGTATTTCGTGACAAAACATCTGGTTGCGGCGTATACTCCAGTGTGACGTATACGCCGGAAAATGTGGTACATATACCAGACTCTGGGAGACTGAACCCACGGCGAAGATTTTTATTTAGGTCATAGCAAGAGTGCATAAACAAGAGTATGCAACTGTGGTTATGGGTCAGTGCGCGGCACGCTGCCTTCATTACGTAATTCCCTCCATCACGCTATGAAAGCATGCACTCAAACCCACAATTTCCCGTGCGAGCCTATCCGTTTTTGCTCGATTCGCTACAGTACCTACGCGATGTCTAAATTCCGACGCGCGAACTCCAGTTCCGTACAAAAGTTCATTTCAAATCAGAGTGAAAGTGCGATGTTTGATTTTCCGCAGTGCGCGGACTGCAGCTGAATGATGTAATGAAGGCAGCGCGTCGTGCATCTGGCCCATAGAAAAGAGATCACAGTTGCATACTCTTGTTTATGGACTCTTGGTTATAGTAACTCACCTGTGCTGCGTCTCACACCGGTTTGCTCCGTCGTTTAGCCATACGACCGAGGCGATTTCTGTGGCGTGTTGCACGCACAGGTGGCGAAACGTGCTCGCGAATTGTCCTCAATCATCACCTGAGCGATGTGGCAATGTGCCTCTGAACTTACATAATGAGCGACTCATGATGACCTATGCAAAAAAATGGCTGTGGAACTGTAGTAGTACTACTACAGTAGTAGTATTTATTATTTTACTAGGGCAATCCCCACAGACTGTGAGTCTTTTTACAGGGTACCCTAGGTAAGTGCGTGAAATAGAGCTGAATGAAGAAAGCCGTAAGTGTGTGAAATAGAGTAAAGAAAACGGTGGCTGCATACTGTGCCATTATGTGTTGCAAAAGAGGCTGCGAAGAGTACTGTTGAACATTGCAAAGGAGGCTGCCTGGCGGCACTGGTTTTATGCAGACAAGATGTGTAGTGGCACGCTCAGGTTTATTGACTCTTGGTAATACCATGAATACGGTAATAGCTTCCAGGCAAGCTGCGGAGGTGTGAGAAGCACACGGCTCTGCTGATCATATGGGCCTGTGTTTTCTTGGATCTGTTACGAGCTAAGATCAGGACGGGTTTAATTTTAGCTGTTCTTGTTTCGTGCTACAAGTTTGACAGATTGTTACTAAGATACGGAAACTAACTTGCTCCTGTGCTGCAATTGACGTATAGCAATAACTGGACACGTCCTTTTTCTCTGTACTACCACGTACATGTTGTTAGGCTGACACAACTTGACAGCATGTTACAAGACGAAGGACTTGTAACATGCTGTCAACCAAGCACCATGTTTTCAACCAAGCAACATGTTTTCAACCAACCAATGCTTTCCTATTACTACTGTGCCTGTATCTGCTGTATGTGTGACAGCTCCTCGGCCATCTGCTGACAGTGGCACGCAAGGTTGCGGTGCAGAAGGGACTCGACGCCGATGGCTACCGCGTGGTGATCAACAACGGCAAGAACGGCGCGCAGAGCGTCTACCACCTGCATCTGCACGTCCTCGGCGGGCGCCAGATGAGCTGGCCACCGGGATAAGACATTGATACCGCTGTCACATTCGTCCACTGTATAACCCAATTTGCTTACTCACATGTTGCCACCTTTCCACAAACTTCTTCCGCCATGTTCAAACTAGCAGCCCAACAGCTTTTTTAGTATGTTTTTGCATGTTTTTGACTGTCTGACAACAGCAAGCAGTAGGATGGTAGATATTTTTCTGAGAGCGTCTTGTGGTTTTAAATTCGCTAATAACGTGCGTGTGTGTGTGTGTGTGTGTGTGTGCGTGTCAGCTAGCTGAAATGGAGTTCGCTTGGTGGGTACCGGGTACACGTATGCCAGATAGTGTTGGGTCTGTTGCCAACGGGCTCGGCTGAAGGTGTATCGTTGTACCTGCCATCTTTGTTGGTTTCGGGGCTCGTATACTTTCTTTTCGAAGTACACATACCTGTTGACCAATGCACTACTTTCGGCAAACTGTTGTGCCAGCGATGTCTACCTGTGCGTGGTAGTGGCTTTGACGTGGTCTCTGAAAGCCGGTTGCCCTCGCGCATTGCACACGTTTGATGGCAGAGAACCGTGGCCTTACACACGTGCACCACATGATTGCTGAAAGACGATACATCTCTTGAAAATATGCTAACCAGCCAAGCCCCCTCCCCTACCCTCAACAAGCCATGCATGTGCGCTGTGTGACACTTTTCCTTTTGATCCACGAGCAAAAGGCCAAATTCTCCCGGCAAACACACCATGTTTTTTTCACCCGGCTCAAAAGAGTTCCAAGAGGGCTTGGGTTTTCAATTTCCAAATTCTGGGTGGTGCCTGCCACTCAGCACTGTAGTGCAAAAACAGAAAAAAAGTAAAGTAGAGATAAAAAATATTTAAAAAAAGGCTACAATGGAGCCACTAGTACAGGCTCTCATTGTCGGTTTCATTGAATTTGTCATCCTAATTTCTTGATGGCTGCAAGTAAGGGCTTCTTCAGAAAAGTGGTGGAAGCTGATGCTGCAGTCTGCAGGGTGCCGACATGAGGAAGCATCTGCAGTCAACACAAACACGTTGGTAGATTAGAAAAGAACGAAAACAATCGCTCTCAAAGCCGAGTAGCAAAGTGGCACTGCAGTTTCCTGGACGTGCTTTCCATGACTCCCCCTGCCCCGGGCCATGTGGTCAGACCAAGCCTTTCCTATTTTGAAGTATCTCTTCAAGCACTAGACTGCATGGCACCGTATGCATGTTTTATGAGTATGTCCCGGTATGACCAAACATGACCTTAGGATTGCCATAGCAAGCTGCGGCTGATGAAACTACTGGATATGCTTCTGAAGTAAAGGCTCTTGTTTTAGGTTGTAAATTATACTGTAATTTCACAAATATTCGGTGTACTTTTATTTTCGATATGTTCAGTGCATCTGTTTCCTACCTAAAATTTCAATACACTGAACAAACACTAACACACATAATCCAATAGAGAACTACTTCTCTGTACCTTTTGCCCTCATACCGAAAATATGGAGCACCTAAAATTTCTGAAATTAGAGTAACCAAGGACTGAGAAGGTGGACCAAAGGAGAACCAAAAGCAGTGACACCCGTATGCGCCAATATCAGACCGATTGCTTGACAGAAATTCGAATTGTACATCACTTACCGGGGGTCCATACTTCTGCACGATTGCCAGGAGCAGCTTGGCAAACTTCAAGTTCTTGGCCTGCAGCGGCGCCTGTTGGCCGAAGCAGGCGGCAAGGTGGGAGCACACTTCGGCATCCATCAATACCTATGGGCACATAGAAACAACGTGGACTCATTGTAAGAACATGTGGGGAACCTGTACCGTAAAGTATCGCCAGAGCGCCCCACCTTGATTTTACAGCCAGAGAAAGGACAATCGTATGGCAGAGGGCAACGAAGTTTGTACGATGTAAGAATCTTAGTGTACTAAGGTCACACTTGGCAGGTTTTGTGTGGAGCTTGTGTCCGCTCGAAGGTACGGATTGACTGCAAAACGTGCTATATGTGTACAAGGTTCATGTCGTATGACCTACAGACAGCAGACCACCTCCACAATACGTCCACGAAAGGATGAGATGGTGGGGCGCTCTGGCGGTACTTTACGGTATAGGTAGCCGCACAGTCAGAATGGTTCAAACCCGGGACCAACAACTAAAATCAGGACGCATTCCGAACTGTGTGAAGCCACCAGCCTCACGTTGTGAAAAGGGAACACAAAGGAGATAGAATTTAAAAGGATATAAGTACAATCATGTACATTATGGTATGGAAATTCATCCTGCGCATTCACATACTCGGCCAGCAACGGCATAAAGAATCTCACGAGTGCGTACGTACGCACACAGACTACTGGAACACAGACATCAGGCAAATGTGGGACGGCGAGAAGGCAACAATGCCTGTGCAATTGGTGAAGCAAGATACAAGTCAACAACAACAACAAATGCCTCATCACAGTGCAATGCTGACCCCTCACCTTCGCCTCCACTAGCGTTTGAAAGCAGGAGATCTGGTCTTCCGTCCACACCGTGGCTGCATCAAGGCGAGACGAAGCGGCCAGGAAACCGCTGGCCACACTCTCGCGCTGCCCGGCGTCCAATACGTCACGGACCAGACGTCGGACTAACTCACACTGGAAGCCGCCTACACCAGCACACCAATACACATGCATGCACATGCACCGTGCACCATGCACCATAATTAGCGAAACAGCCCACTATTTCCTGTATTTTTTTATCATGAATAACCCTGTTTTAAACTCTTTGGCCTACTAGTACTTCGTGCATATGTAACCATGAGAACAGTAGACTTGGCAACGAGCCTGCACTGGCACTCACCTGCTGAAGCTGGATCGCTGAACGCCGGAATGAGGACGGACGAGATGGCGGCACGGGGATAGCGGCCCAGCAGCTGAACAAGGCCAGCGTGCAGGGAGCGGGACGCCAGCTGGGCGAGCGACAGTACCTGAAGCGCAACGGCACGCACACACTTTCCATCAGAATATTGACATGGGTGGACAGCCAGGCTGGCAATGAGCAACTCATGTTCCTGGCTTCATGTTGCAACACCAAAACATTGTCAACACTCATCTCTTTTACAACAATATTATCACGTACAGTAAAACCTGAGTTTGCCGGACCCTGTATCAAGCAGAATCCTGTATTGACCGGACAAATTGTCATGCAACAAAGTGCTGTGGATCGAACGTGCATCCCTGGATCAAGCGAAAGGAATCCTGTCATATCAGGACAGCTTCTACTGCATCAAGGGCGTCCGGTTCGGGCAGGTTTTACTGTACTCGAAGTAGAACTTTCCTCAAAGGAAACAGACTACATGCACTAGTGTAATTACTATGGGGTCTTCCGTAACTACCGATATTAATTTTAAAAGAAACGAAAACTAGTCGTTTCTCTTCAACCCCCTCCCCGAGAAACGAATGTACCATTTGTATGTGTTCATTATCGATATTTTCGGTAGTTATTTCTGGACATGCTCACACATGCAAAATGTACATTGATATTTTTCGAGAAACGAACAGGCGCTCAACCCCCTCCCCCCTAAACGACTAGTTTTCGTTTCTAAATAAATATCTATATTTACGAATGGCCCCTAATTAGACATGCAAAGAGAACAGAAAACAGCGCACACGGGGCAGAACATCAAGACTTCCTCCGCTGTCCTCAACAGCACACAGGGTCCACACAACCCTTGAAAACCCTAAAATATAGAATATACTGAAAAAACCGTGATCTTGTGAAAATACACGGCTTGTCCCGAAAAATCCTTGAAATTCAGTTTTTTTGGCAGCATCATTGTACCCTAGCCCTGTGATGTACAGCGTGTACATCAAGGGCAGTGGTCCTGTGTCTACACAGATATTGTAGGTCCACGGGTTGAAAGCTACACATTTCGAATTTTTCAAGTACTAGTAACTACTTTAGGGGCCATAATTATCGATATTTTACACGAAGAGAAAAAGTCTCGTTTATCGGTGGGTGGGTCAAGGGGAGTTTCGTTTTGAAAAAATATTGATATGTGAGACATCTAGGCATTCTTGCTGTCAAGTCAATCTATTTTTCGTTCAGGGGGTGGGTGGGTGGAGGAGGGTCCAAACTAAACTTTTTCGTTTCGTGAAAATTATCGGTAATGCCGGATAGCCCCTTAGTTGCTCGCGCTCTTCAAGTCGTAAGTAGCACTAGTCTAGCCTCTACTGGCTCTAGTTTACTGGTACATGGTGTGCTGTTTCTTGTAACTCGCTGTGCGTCGGAGCAGTGGTAGCGGAAACGCCTCCAAAGGGAAAATGTCATTTTCGTGACGCTTGGCCGTCAACACCGGAGTTCCGCAAGTGGCTAGTAGCTACTCTCAGCGACGAATTCAGAGCACGATGCTCACTTCACAGGTCAGGTTTTGATATTTCAGGCGGCGGTATCTCCTCAGTCAAGAGTCACGCGAAGGGCGAAAAGCATTGCGAAGCTGTGGAGAGGAGCACTCCAGCTTTGACAGTGAATCGTTTTTTCGTCCCGTTGTCAACAGCTGTAGCTGATAGCAGCAGCGCCAGTGCCAACAGCAGTACTTATAGTACTAGCCCAGCGCTACCACAATAGTGATCTGGTGAGTTCCCACAACGCTACCCCATCACTATCATCGCACATCACTCGTGTGGACTGCTTGCAAGCAGAAGTATTGTGTGCACTCAAAGTGTGTATTTCGCACCACTCGCACAGTTCCAGCAGTAACATTGGTCCTCTGGTGAGCAGGATGTTCCCAGACAGTGAAATTGCAGGCAAATACTCTGGTGGTGAACGCAAATGCGGCTATCTCTGTAGGTATGGCCTAGGTACATTCTTCCAAGACCTGCTGCAGAAGCAAGTTAACAAGGCAGAGTCATTCGTGGCGCTATTTGACGAGAGCCACACTTTCAAGACGAAAACCACACAGATACGTCTACTGAGTTCTGGTCAGGATTGCGCCTCTGTAGCAACTCGCTACCTTACATCAGCGTATCTGGCTCACTCAACAGCCAACGATCTGCTGCACCATTTCCATGCCGCAACCGATTAACTCGGCCTCAGCAAACTGGTCCAGGTGTCAATGGATGGACCAACGGTATATTGGAAATTTCACCGATTGCTGAAGGAAGAGCTCCAGCGCACAAACAATAAATCTATTGTTGATATCGGCAGCTGTGGCCTACACGTTGTGCACATGGCTTTCCAGGATGGAGCAAGAAAGTCTGGGTGGGGTGTGATTGCGCTGTTGAAGGCTCTCTACTATTGTTTCAGGGACAGCCCTGCAAGACGAGAAGACTTCACAAGAGTTACGGAATCCAGTGTCTTTCCTCTGAAATTTTGCCAGCACCGATGGGTAGAATAATCTGCCTGTAGCAGAGGGGGCTGTGAGCGCGTGGAGCAGCATTGCTTCGATGGCAAGGGAGGTGCAGCCACTCCTCACCAAGTTCCAGACTGACTGCCCAATGGTGCCATTCCTGCACAGTGCCCTGGAGTCCATGCTACGTAGCCTCCTGAGCCGCATTGTGAAGCAGGATACCCTCAGTGCTAGTTCCTCCACGGTTCGCCTGATGGCCATCGATATCACTGATGAGTCAGTTCTTCTGCCAATTACCAAGGTCCACATGGGATTTGCTGTCGAGGAGCATGCACGGCAGCTCGTCACTGGCAAGAAGATAAGCCAACTCCAGTGCCGCGACCGGAGAGCCCAGCGCAAGGACTTTGTTGTTGCATTGGTAGAGAAGTTGAAGGAAAAGTCGCCACTATCCTTTCCACTGGCTCGTTCCGCCTCCTGCCTTGACCCACGCAAGATGACCGTGTCTTCGGGGAAGGAAGAGTGCATGAAACTGATGAAGCGTGTTTGTGCTGCTTTTAGTGAAGCAGGAAGAGTCGGAAGGCGGCGGGGAATTTGGTTGTGAAGACATCCTGAAAGAGTACAACGACTTCCTCTCCTCGGTCATCCCTCTGAAGAGGTCTGCATGTGCTGCATCGATCCGACCCCAGCAGATGCACGCATTGACCACCTGCTTAGGACCGACATGGCCAGCAACCCCAGGTATGCGAAGCTGTGGAAGCTTGTTCGTGACCTCCTTCTACCCTCTCATGGGCAGGCTACTGTCGAGAGAGGTTTCAGCGTGAACCGCCAGGTGGAGGATGACAATCTGTCAGAAGCTGGGTTCGTTGCACGGCGCTCAATTTGCGACCACGTTGCTGCAGTGGGTGGCACATTTTTCACTACAAGGTTCTGTTTTTTGTTTTCCGTTGCCTACATGATCTTGCAAGTTCTCTTTTCTACACCTACTTTCAGTTGACGGCTAATACAGGCCACACATCCCGGGATGATTGCCGAATTACTCGAGGACAGGAACAGCGGCTGCTGCAAGTGCCTTTCCTTCCGGGACCTTCTGGTCGTCAGTCATTGACATTTGTAGGAAGCACTCTTTGGAATGCCCTTCCAAGTGATATTCGCCTTCACAATGCGGCTTGTGCCTTTAAGCTGGCTCTGGACAGAATTGATTGTAATTTGTAACCAATGTTAAACGCACTCCTTCCTCGCTCGGTATCACTTCCTTCATGGGTACCGCTTTGCTTGACATTCATCCCTCATCTTTATACTTTTAAAAGCAGTGTGCATGCAATAACCCCCCCCCCCCCCCATTCATCATACACATTACTGCATGTTATCACTATGTGTTCTTCACTTCTTACATGTACACACACCCATTGAATTCTATACTTTGGAATTCTCATTTTATGATTCTTTTTAATATTTCCTTCTCCCATAATATGTTATTCGTTCTTAGTAGGAACCGGAGGTTTTTTCCTCTGGTGAGAAGGCATAATTGCCTGTGCTCTAAACGAATTCAAATAAAAGAAACCAACCAACCAACCTGCTATCCTCCTGGCTACCAGCTCTACACGCCAGGTATACCAGCGGCACCTGGACAAGCAGCGTAGAGAGGAACAGGACACTGCTCAGTCCAGGAAGCGGAAGGCTGCGGAGGAGGAGGTTGGCGCGTGCAGAAAGAAAAAGAAGCAACTGGAGGACACTATCTCATCGCTCTCTTTATCTGCAGATGAGTTCTCGGAGAAAGAGGAGCAGACCGGCGACCTTACTTGGGTGTGCAAGTCCAACAGCATGCATCGTACTATGAAAACGAAGGCTGCTGAGCTGGCTTCTGTTGTGTCCGAATTGGCCTGCCTTGTTAATGCTCAAAAGAACTGAGCTAGAATTGTCTTTTAGTGTTTTTCTTTTGGTTTTCTCTCTTTACTGTGGCTCTCCCACCAATTACCTTTTCATTCTTTTTTTTCATTTCTAATTTCATTTATATCTTTATGGTCTCCACTGTTTACATTGCATGAATGAAGTATACACAAATGTCGATTCAGCTCGACTTATTGATTGCGGCTATCTTTATGGTCTTCTTCTTATATCTTTTAATTATGGTCATCACGCTGTGACTCTCGTAATGCTCTTGATGCTCGGTCACATGTACAGTGCCTGTAATAAAATCGCTTCCTAGGTCTTTATTTCAAATGGCTTTATTTCCTAGGTCTTTAGTATGTAATTTCCGCCGTAACGTTATGTGCTGTTCATATTTAAAATAGTTGCTGTGCGGCTGTTTGCTGTACGGTTGGTCGCTTGAAAATATCCTAGAAAAGTCCTCAAATCTTGGTTTTCGTGTTCCCGAAACATACTTGAACTTCAAGTGTATGTCGTCTGTGTGCGGACCCTGTCCCAGCACTAAGGTAAAGAGGAGCAGGACAAGCGCATCAACAGCACCGCGAAACAAAGATCAATCTGCTAACCTTGGGCAAGACGAGTGCAGAGCACACATTCTCAGACACGCTCACTCCCAGCTCCGCGGGCATTGTTGACAGCTGGAAAAAACAGTCAAGAGAACGGAGTTCATCGGTGAGCCAACACTAATACTTCAAAGTACTCTTTTTTAAACAAGGGAACACACCACCACGTAGCACATAGGATACTCAATCTCCGGACAGCCAGCTGTTCAGCCTTCGTAGGTCTCATCCGCAGGGATCAGAGTGACTGGCCGAGTCAGTCACAATACAGTCTAGCGTTGAACGAAGCATTTTCAAATTGGCCCAATGCATCAAATTCAGCAGCTGCACAAGGAATTGATGTGACGAGATATTTTCCAGCATATGTTCTAAAACCTGTCAAGGCGACCACTCGGATAAGGCGACCACCTGTCCCAGAAGACCGCTGCAGCCAGGACCAAGGGATGCTATTTCCAGTCAGACGACCCTGGATACGGAGACCACCTGGTTACAGAGACCACACTTTGAAGGTCCCTTGAGCAGCGGTCGTCATAGACAGATTTCACTGTATGTTGTAAACAGTGCATTCAGTTCACTGCATGGCAGTACTACTTCTCTTTCACTCAGTGGATCTTTTCAAAGATGTTTCTCATAAACTGGATCAATCACATGCACCATCGCGAAGTCGGAGTGACCAGGGAAGAGAAGCATGGCAGCACCCAGAATTATTTACCTGCTGCACAACAGCCATGACTACGGCTTCTGACAGCGATGCGCAGTCGACGAAGGAGAGAAAAGCTTCCACCTGCAAAACAACATGCACAAAAGGCAGAAACAACCCTCGCTTGGTGTTCTAGCACCTACATGACTACCACACCGTCTCCATGACCAGCTATGTTGACCAGCTATGTTGACCAGCTATGTTGACCAGCTATGTTTCGAATCAGGATCAAGTGCAGCGTTGCAAACGCACACCACGCACAAGTGCAATTCACCTCCCAATCAGAGCTAAGAGCCAAACCACCTGGCCAAGTGATGGCACAGACGGTGTGTCACTCGTGCGAACTACGCGTCGTTTTACTTTCCTCCGGTTCCAACGTGCAAGCGTCCAATGAGAGAACCATAGCACTTACCTGGTTCAATGAGAGAGTCGAAATAACGCTGAGGTCAGTGAAGGTAGCACGCTGGACACAGTGTAGCATAAATCATGCAATACCATGAAGAACGGAGCGCCGAAGAACGGCCAGGCTAGAATTTCATCAAGCACAGCATACCAATGTATACGCGGTGACTCAACTGTGCATAGACTGTAATACATGAAAATAAGAACGGCCTAGGCTAGGAGGCTGATCCCCAGTTCTGTAATGGCACAAGCTCTGGAAGTTACCTCCTGTTGAGATGAATCTACAAAGAAGTCATTTGTACGTTACACGGCTCATTGCCATGCAACATTAGCTAGTAAAGCCAAACCCGATGTTCAACACTGGACAGTATAGCCAGTGGTGGATAGCTCAAGCACAGTGCATTAACAGGGGCGTAGCAGCCGGTCCGGTTTTGGCCGGACCACTTTTTTTAACACAATGCCAAAAGTGCCCAGAATGCAGGATTTTGCACCCTAGTTTCAAAAATTTCCCGGGACAACCCCCCCCCCCCCCCCTCCAGCTGGACCACCTCCAATGGCGGTGCTACGCGCCTGATTAAAAAGTACATGTATATGCTTGAGCACTGTCCGCATCTTGCAGCCATGAGAACCAGGTTAGGTGTTAAACGCCACAGGCGTAACAGAACCATAACTCGTCAAGCAATTATGACTGCATACCAGTACCTCATTGCCCGACAAGAAGTCATCGAGAAGACGTGACAAGGCAAGCTGCAGAGACGAAACAACAAAAGGAGAGTCTCTCTCATCAAGATGAATGTCCAGAGATACACGTGCACAATGAAGCCGATGAAGATGGGCTTCAACACACCATACATAACTATCATATGGATGCAGTATCCGAGAAGCAACACAATACCAAATAAGTTAAAATAACCCTCTCCCTCCCGTCTGTCTGTTTGTTTGTCTTATTGATGATGGGTACTAACAATGATTATCACACAGCACTGAGTCATTGACAAATGGGTCAAGTTCTCTCATCCTGACTCTCTCGGTGATGTCATACCTTGGGTGGTGCGGCCAGGGTGGCCAGCTGCGGATGCGAGTCCACGTCCGAGCGAGGCAAGTGCTTGTGACGCGGTTTCACCAAGCCACTCACGGCTAAACAGAATTCAGGAACACAACACATACATACACACACACGCATACACGCATACATACACACAACAACAACAACAACAACAACAACAACAACAACAACAACAACAGCAAGTTTGTACTTCAGTATATTGAAATGAAGCCTGCACGTAGGTAAGTTGTCAGCCGAGTTGGGACCAACACAATAAAGCTACATGTACATTGACACCAAACCAGTCTGTTCGATGAGCGCTATGCATTGCTTCTAGAGCAGCAACACAAGGGAAGCAAGGTGGCCCTCACTTACTGCTAGTCTGAGAACATGAAAGCATGGCAGCAGAGTCAGCCATTGGCTGCTGCTGTTCCCGTTGCTGCTTCCGCTGCATCGGCGGTGCCCGCTCTGCATTGGGCGCAAGTGGAACAATCCCAACCTCGGCAGTGGCACCGGCATCTTCTGCGGGCGACCTGTGTTGCTCCTCAAACAGCACCACATCACCTGCTGAAGTCAAAGACAAAACACCAGAATGTTGACATTATCGTTCGCAAGCTCCAGGAGCACAGATTTCAGTAGCCTACTCAACCTCAAGTGACTAGAGGTGAATTCCCCAAACGCTGCGCATTGAGCAGGGAGTGGGTGCTTTCTTGCGGGTTTTGCCGGGTGAGAGGTTCAGTGTGCTTGTCGGGGGTCCGGACAGGCAGCCAGGAGCTAGCCAACTGCCAAGTTCGGCAGGAAGTGTGAGCTCTACGTAAATTAATGGGCCCAAGGGTATGTGTGTGTCAGTTACTTGAAATTCATGTCTGCTGCGGTCATGGGTAGAGGCGAGGTCGACCGGATAGAACAGTTCTGTACCTGGAGGTGTCGACGATGCCGGTTTAGCCGCATGAGCAAGCCTGGGCTTCTTCAAGCAGGGAGCATGCTCGTCATCAGCTGAGCCTACAGTTTGTAGGCAATAGAGAGAGACACAAAGAAAGCAGCAGCTTGTCACGAATTCAGACTGCGGCCACCTGACTGTAGACCAATGCTAACAGAGTGTGCGTGCAGTCAAGATGAGTGATCTTGTGTACAGTCCGGTCACTCTGAGCTCCGCTGATGAGACCTGACCAGGTTGAAACAGCTAGCTGTCCCGAGAATGAGTACCGTGATACAGTGAAGCGTGCTAGTTACATCTCGTGAGTGTGCAGCTCCTGACTTTTACACATGGGTCCAGGGTGTGTGCAATGGCGAATATCCTGGATTACATGTACATCATAGTCGATCCAGAACTGCAGCGGAAAGTGGCATAGTGCACGCAACTGAGCTGCAGTCGTGCAGCAGGAGACCTGCTTGAAGCTTCCTTGTACGTACTCAGGGTTCTAGCCAAAGGGAAGGGGGGGGGGGGCTGCCCTACTCTGTTTGCGCCTCCCCCCCTACTTATTTTTCGATTTTTGTTTTCATGCCATTCAACGGAAATGCAGTCGATAGTCAGTGCTAGAGGGTTCATAAAAGGCACATTTGCCTGGGGTGAAGTCAGGTGTTCACCCCGTACGTTGCACTTCGCATATCAAGACAGTTATTTTGAAAATGGAAAAATGGGTTACGGGGTAACTGTTTTCCCTGCCCCCCCCCCCCCCTCCACTACTTTCACCTGGCTAGAACCCTGCGAACTACATCACTAAAATGATGTGATCCAGGAGCTTCGCTGGGACAGCAACCTATTCGAGCTGCACACTCTGGGTTTTATGCAGTATTGATGGAAACTGCCAGTGGAATCTCAATAGAGACAGCATACGTGTATCTTCTCACCGAGATCTTCTCCACGGAGGTCGTCACCGGCCTGCTGCTGTCGCCTACGCCGCACACACATAGCCAGCGTGGTGATTGTACCCGTCAGATCAGTGGCATTATCGCCGACCGGCTGCACGGCGGCCGGCGGGGAGCCTTCGTCACCGGCGGGCAGGGCGGCGGCCAAACGACGGCCATCGCTGCACACGTGCTGGAACTCGCTCAGCAACGCGCGCAGTGCGTGCACTGGCACTTGGGCGTGCACCCGCGCCAGCAGCAACGCCAGGCGACGCCGATCGTGCTCCGGGAGTACGCGCAGGCGTGATGTGCTGCAGAAACATTATGACAATAAATAAACCAGATGAATCTATTTCGTATCAGATGTGGTGACCGGTAACGATCTTCACTGCGCCTCTTAGCAGCCAATGAAAGATCACGAATCGAGCCCGCATAACTGAATTTTCTGACCTGGTAAGTGCATGCCACAGCTGTACGAAAACATTGTGGTACTGCACCTGTCACGAATGTACACGTCATCATCATCATCATCATCATAACAAGCCCATAGCCCTAAGGCCGTCGGGGCGTCACAGAGCAAGTATGAACAAGCGAGCGCCATAAAAATTGATCACGTGCAGCAGCGAGCAGGGACTGCACGTCAAGTGAATGTACACGTACAAGTACTTATTGCCACGATATTGTGTGATAGCATACAGGCCAACCCTCCCGGCTTTACCGGGAAAATCCCGGAAAATCGACACTACTCCCGGGGTTCCGGGAATTTCAAGCAAACTCCCGGAAAAGTCAGTTACTTGCCGGATACAGAATGCTCCTAAAACTCCATGGATTCGCCTCGAATGTCCCGGCTTTTTCCAAAATATGTACGGTGCGCACTCGCACTTCGAACTGTGCACGGTACGAGTACTTTCAAGATCTGACCAGCCTGCATGCAAGATCTGACCTGGTAGGCGGGCGCCCGCCGAATGATCGAACTGCACTGCAGGGTCGAACTGTGCTGCACGCAGATCTGCAGAGTCTATGCCATCGAACGTTTTTTTTTGGCGGGAAAAGTTCTTTTTCACTTGTTTTTTTGTGCCATCCAGGGATTCTGCATGTCTTGTCAAGGCATTGAGGTTTTTGGAACTTCCTCTATACAGTGCTGCGACGGCAAAACTTCACATAGCGTGACATAGTTCAAAAGGTTACGCTGGCAAACAGTGCAAAGTGACCACAACAGAGTTGAACCCAATACAGGGATGCGTACAACTCTGCATCTATCATGCACGGGGTGCAAATGATGTGTACGGGTTCGGCACGTGATGTGAAGTTCTGCCGTCGCAGACCCCATAGCTGGAGTTGCACACTCTTAGGGGCAATGTACTCTTGATTACCGTAAAGTCGCGGATAAAAGCCGGGTTTGCATACAAGCACATTGCGGATAGAAGCCTGAAAATCAAACGGGTCAAATGCATATAAGCCTGACGCGCGTAGAAGCCTGGCTTCTATGCAAGCGCGGATCGGGTAGGTCAAGAGTGTATGCGCTATGTACGGTGCATAGTAAAACTGCCGCCATACCGGTAGTCAGTGGCAGATTTACGCGTGTCGCGCGTAGAAGCCTGGTTCTATGTGCATACAAGCCTGGCAAAAATATCAGTGGTGCATATAAGCATGGTTTGCATTAAAGCCTGATGCAGAAAGCGGCTTATGTGCTTATAAGCCCGGCTTTTATCCGCGACTTTACGGCATATGTATAGAGGTTATGGGAATGATTTCACTGGGTGAGTGAGCGGACCCGCTCATGGGTGCTAAGTGATATGAGCGAGTATAAAGCGCGAGTCGGCGGATTCGCTTATGGGCGCTAAGTAAGTATGCAACGTGAGTCACTACAAGTGCATCGCCGTGCCGCGAGTCCACGACTTTGCCAACGAATCTGCACTGATGCTGTAATCGCATAAACTCTACACATGTAAATTTACCAGTACACATTTTCTAAGAAAGTGGTGGATATCACGCAACTGCACTATAAAGAAAAGGGGGTTTGTCAACTGACAAGTTGAGTGACAACCGCTCTATTCAGTTGCTATTCACACTCGTGTACCCGGCGCATGCGCTGGATGAAAAATTCTTCATTTGGGATGTCGAAAGAATTATGACGTTTCGGGCCAGTCACCCATCGTTCTGGTGTGAATAGCAACTGAATAGAGTGGTTGTCAGTTGACAAACCCCCTTTTCGGGATACATTCTGTAAAAAAAGTGCAGAAAAGTGCGAACATACTCAACACAAATCATCATGATCACTCACTCACTCGAGGTCTAGGTCCATCCGATCTACTTATGGGACTACACCACAAGTGGTCAGTCACATCTGGCCTTGGTGGATCTGTGGAGGTGCTTGCTGTCGACATCGCCGGGGCTTTTTGACAAAGTCTCCCACACAGGTGTACTGCACAAGTTGCGGAACATAGGTGTGGAGGACACCCTCCTGGACTGGCTTAAAGACTACCTAACACTAACAGGTCATTGGCGGCAAGAGCTCCAATCGCTATCCGATCTCTGCAGGAGTGCCACAAGGCAGCATCCTTGGACCGTCCCTGTTCCTAGTATATGTAAATGATGCTGATAGCTGCCTGGCTCCTGGGTCTGAAATGGAACATTTGCAGACGACACTTTGCTGTATGCCTGCGTCAAAACACGTGACGATGCCCTACACCAAGCTGACAGTCTCCAAGCCGTCAATGCGATACATGCATGGGGGACAAGGTGTCACGCAAGGTTTGAATCATCTAAGTCGCAGCTTCTACGAATCTCCGGCCATCGACTGCCTTGGCCTATCCCCGCAATAAACTTTGGAGGGGAGGTCATCCCATAGCAGCCACACCTGAAACCCGTCGGAGTTCTGGCTGACTCCAAGCTATCCTTTTCCACGCATCTCCGGGCAGTTGCTGCCAGGGCGAACTCACGTCTTGGCCTCCTACGTAGAGCTGCTCGCGTTCTGGACTGCCGTGGCATGCTGGCTGTGTACCACGGCTTCGTCCGGCCACTGCTCGAGTACGCTCCCCTTGTCTGGATGGGAGCTGCTCCTACCTACCTTGAACACTTAACAGAGTGCAGAGGCGAGCTCTCCACATCCTGGAACCCACCATCTTGCTAAAGAGCCTCGAGGCTCGACAGACAGTGGCAGCGCTGACTTTCGTCTACTTATACAAGCTACTGTGCCAACCAGGTCGTCCTCTGCTGAGATCCATGGTTCTCCCCCCCTCTCCTTGTCCACCATGCAGCACCTGTAACCCGGAGACAATGCCAACAGTCTGCTTCACACCCCTCCCAACTGGAAATGTTCTCCCTCCAGGTGCTCCTAACTACCTAAAGCCTACCGTATTTTACCGGTTGTAAGTCGACCCCGGTTATAGGTCGACCCCGTATCCGGAGGTCTCAATTCTGCCTTTTAAAGGGGAAGTTAAGGCAAAAATTAAAATTTCACCAGTTGTATTCTTCGGGGTGCTGAGTCGAATGGTCTTGGTCCGAGAAAGCTGAGACGCTCCCTTCCTACTTGAATCCCAATCGAACTCGCGCACTTCCACCGAAACTGGGTGACTGCGCCCTACTAGATGGGGATTTGTATGCAAAATGTCACTAAAAGCGCCGTTTCGTTCTTATAAAAGCACGGATGACCGCGATTGGCCCATATGTTGTAGTCTTTTGGACGCTGAGTCGACTGGTTTTGGTCCGAAAAGGCTGCAATGCAGCGTTCCTCCTTTATTCCCAATCGAACATGGTTGAACAAGCGGTCACGTGCTCCTGCGTACACCAGTCAGCTGGTCACCGTGCCTGCAGGGTACAACTTACTAGCCTGTTTGACCTTTTTTGGTCACTCGAGTTGAACTCGAGTTGAACCTTGGTGTGAATTGTCGCCTGCTGGCGTGGTGACCAGGTGATTTGGGCACCCAGGAGCACGTGACCGCTTCTTCAACCATGTTCGATTGGGAATAAAGGAGGAACGCTGCATCGCAGCCTTTTCGGACCAAAACCAGTCGACTCAGCGTCCAAAAGAGTACAACATATGAGCCAATCGCGGTCATCCGTGCTTTTATAAGAACGAAATGGCGCTTTTAGTGACATTTTGCATACAAATCCCCATCTCGTAGGGCGCAGTCACCCAGTTTCGGTGGAAGTGCGCGAGTTCGATTGGGATTCAAGTAGGAAGGGAGCGTCTCAGCTTTCTCGGACCAAGACCATTCGACTCAGCACCCCGAAGACTACAACTGGTGAAATTTTAATTTTTGCCTTAACTTCCCCTTTAAAGTTTTCACCCAACGAAGCACTACCAACCACTCCCTGCTACTAACACATCAACAAATCATGTAAACATTCCTTTAATTGGAGGGTATAACGTCCCAATCCTTGAAAAAGGCCAATAAACTGGCAAACATGAATACACATGGTGCACTCATGCATGCAGGGCAGGTCATTTTTTGTAAGATTCTGATAGTTCCCGGTTATAAGTCGAATCCCGGTTGTAAGTCGACCCCCACCCTTTCTCCTTCTATTTTTAGTCGTAAAAGGTCGACTTAATAATAATAATAATAATAATGACAGTTCGCATTTCACTCATTGCATGAGGTCAACGCATCTGTTAACAATTTCGAGCCAAGCAGCTCTATCAGAAGCAGATTGCACAGCATCCAGAAGCGACAGATTAATGCATTGTAAGTCTTTCTTGACAACGTCGATCCATCTCAGACGGGGTCGTCCTCGGGGTCGTCGTATGTCTGTTGTGTTGATTGACATTAGGAGGGCTTGGAAAGAGGACGATTCTTCGCCTTCCCTCACTACATGGCCGAACCACAGCAGTCTCCGAAGGTCGACTTACAACCGGAAAAATACGGTAGTTCACATTCGACGGAACGGGATGGTACGGGACGTAAGGGCCTATTGGGAAGGCTGGGGTGAGTCGTAAAATCTTGTACGATTCGTACGGCACGACATGCTTCAGTCGTTGTGTCGTTCAACAGCAAGCAGCGCGAGTCATAAGGCACGGTCGGTGACTTTTGGACCTAATTTCTTGCTTTCGGGACTTCTTTCCTATCATTTCTCTTTGAATGAAGCGAAATCAAGTTTACAATACCAGTTTTTCATGAAGACCAACAAAGTAGCTTCGAAAGATGTGCCATTCAAATAATAGCTCCAGGAAATGATAAAACAGTTCGTCTGTCACGCTCCTGAACTATCCCTAAATACCATAAGTGACATCAGACCTTATCTTGCTAAAATTCAACTCAAGTCGTGTTAGCAATTCTGCGAGTTATCATGGGAAGTGCAGTGTTCGAAATGCTAAAAATTCCAAAGTACAAATCGGGAGTAGTCAGCGCACGACGCTGTCTCCTGTTCACACTGAAAATGCAGCCGTTTTGTAAACTTGCGTCCCCATCTACGCCCGTCTACGGTATGAAAAGTTGAGTTGATCCAACTCTTCCCGTCGCTTCCCGATCCGTACGGTAGTACGGTTGCGTTCCCGTTCCTGGTGTTCACATTGGGCGCTGTCAGACTGTCCCGTCGCTTCCCGTCGATCCTTACGTCGCGTCCCGTCGAATGTGAACTAGGCTTAAAGGGGAAGTATACCCTAAAATCAAATTTTCACCAGTTGTAGTCTTCGGGGTGCTGAGTCGAATGGTCTTGGTCCGAGGAAGCTGAGACGCTCCCTTCCTACTTGAATCCCAATCGAACTCGCGCACTTCCACCGAAACTGGGTGACTGCGCCCTACTAGATGGGGATTTGTATGCAAAATGTCACTAAAAGCGCCATTTCGTTCTTATAAAAGCACGGATGACCGCGATTGGCCCATATGTTGTAGTCTTTTGGACGCTGAGTCGACTGGTTTTGGTCCGAAAAGGCTGCGATGCAGCGTTCCTCCTTTATTCCCAATCGAACATGGTTGAACAAGCGGTCACGTGCTCCTGCGTACACCAGTCAGCTGGTCACCGTGCCTGCAGGGTACAACTTACTAGCCTGTTTGACCTTTTTTGGGTGCAGTCCTGTCACTCGAGTTGAACTCGAGTTGAACCTTGGTGTGAAAGTTGTCGCCTGCTGGCGCGGTGACCAGGTGATTTGGGCACCCAGGAGCACGTGACCGCTTGTTCAACCATGTTCGATTGGGAATAAAGGAGGAACGCTGCATCGCAGCCTTTTCGGACCAAAACCAGTCGACTCAGCGTCCAAAAGACTACAACATATGGGTCAATCGCGGTCATCCGTGCTTTTATAAGAACGAAATGGCGCTTTTAGTGACATTTTGCATACAAATCCCCATCTCGTGGGGCGCAGTCACCCAGTTTCGGTGGAAGTGCGCGAGTTCGATTGGGATTCAAGTAGGAAGGGAGCGTCGCAGCTTCCTCGGACCAAGACCATTCGACTCAGCACCCAGAAGACTACAACTGGTGAAAATTTGATTTTAGGGTATACTTCCCCTTTAATTAAGACGCGCATTTCCATACAACATCATCAACAACTCGAACACGCTGCCATCCTTCCTCTTCACCAAGCCGCCATCTCCTAAGGGCCTGCAATCCTTCAAAACGAATGTCCACTACCATCTTCACCAAAGCCAGTGGCTTTGGGTCACAGACTCCCTCTTACAGTTCAGAACTATTTCCATATTGAAGCCCCCCTCCCCCAAGTATTGCATCATGTTCACAGCCATCTGAACTGCCTTTGAATCCCTCCCCCCCCCCCCCCCCCCCTCTCTCTCTCTCTCTCTCCTCAACCATTCTACCTCACCTTCTCTTGTCTTTTTAACCCTTTACTGTCCGCACATACAAGCATCGATCCAATGGGATCGATGGGGTAGGCATTTTGAAATTATCGTAACTTGCTCAAATCTAGGTCTTTTGGAGAGATCGAAATATGTAGGTCGAAGAGAAAAGTCTCAGCTGTCGCCTCGAACAATCCCCGAAGCGATACGAAGAGCGGTTGCTGAGTTATCGCACTCGTAATTCTGGTCCCGGGAAATGTACGTTCAGAGCGCATGTCGACGGCTGGGATTTTCCGTTTACGTCACCTGTTGGCAAGGCTACACCGATTCAAATTCAAAAGTAGGTTCCCGGGAGTCTCTACGAAAATATTTGAGCTCGATACGAGCAACAGGGGTGACATGGTGGATTGAGATCGATCTCGAGCGTGAGCTCAGCGCTTTTGCGCGTTCCCTGGCTTGCAGCGCTGGACCAGTGCATCCTGTGGCGCCGAGTGTGGGCTCATTGCGTTCGTCTCGTCAAGACCTTTCCAGGATGCCCAAGATCGTGGAAATCGTCAAATTCAAACCAAAGTTACGTCTGATTTTAGTTTCAGATTTTGTGGTTGCGTGGGCTCGTATACATTTTAATCGGACAGTAAAGGGTTAAATAGGTTATGTTGCGCAAGCCCACACTAACGTCGAGACCATAGGCCGATGTTGTGGGCTTGCCTCACAAGCACAGGCTTGCTTTGCAGCCCCTACTCTCCCTGCTCTTTTGTTATTGTATATTCTGTTGTCTTCTCTCCTTCTGACGAGTACATGTAGGTTGTGTACTAACTTAGTAAAAAACAAACAAAACAAAACAAAAACTCACAACTGCAGAGCGTCGTCTTGTATTACTGGTACGAGCGCACACAGGTGGTCAGCGAGAACCTGCCAATCGGGTGGCAGGCGAGTCGGATACCCAGCCCGCCGTCGGATGTCATGGCACTCGGCGAACAGGCTTTGCACTGCCCCGTCGATAGCGATTGACTCGTCAGGAGGTACAAGTAGTTCTCGACAAAGAGGTTGCCATTCCTTTGGCCAACTTTCCACAGGAACTTCCCTGCCACAGGAGCCCAGTGAACCACTTTTATTCATTCATGAAGCTTCTACCACAAATCTCTGGTCTGGATGCACGTTTATAGTCGTATCTCCGAGGAGAGAGAGGAGGAGATTGCACCAAACATAATCATTGTTTCAAACAAAAATAAAGAATCATTCGAAATCAAAAAAAAAAGGCAAAATCTCCTTGCCAGTCCAAGGAGGGACTTCCCCTAAACATAACTCATGATCACGTGCACTGCACTGATCGCGATCTGAGAGTTTTCTCTTTTCTGTTTTCACTGGATCAGCTGACGCCTCGCGAGAGAGGCAGCGCCTCCTTGGCCGCACGGCTAGCACGACATGCTTTTTGAATCAGAACAGCGGCGGATATGGCCGCATGCCACCTTGCTTGCATGCATGCAGCTCAGGCCAGGCTGCGCATGCAGCATCACGTGTGTTCGAAATGAGTAGTCGACGATCCACACTCAGACTTACTTCAAAGAATCAAACAACGAAAGTCACTTCTTGCCTTGTTGAGTTGGGGAAGGCTGCCTGCCACCCTGCGCTGGCTGACAGCAGAGACGACAGTGTAGACTGATCTTGGAGACTGTTCGTTGTCGTTGTTGGTTCTCTTTGCAAATCAGTTCAAAATTCGTCCCCTGTCCATCTCTGCTATCTGGGCCTTTGGTGGATCTCCTCAGTTCGCGGTGTAGGTGAAACCAAGTGAAGTCAGTGTACTACGTCGCCTCCTGCTGGGTTTGAAGTAACTCTTTCGCAAGATACCCCACTTGCAAATCGGACAACCAGTGACTGGTAAGTACTTACCTTGGGTTTCTTTTCACTTTCGGGCCAAGGCTTGGCTTTGTTGTGAATGGTGAATGTTGTAGTACGACCTTGTGGACTTACCGTAGCGTTTACACGTGTGGACGTGTGCATTTTCTTGTTCCAAAACAAACCTGTCGAGTGGTGCTTCCCTGCGCCTGGCCTGGTTACTAGCACATGGTTGCTACTCACCACCCACTTCGCTCTGCATTGACTGGGCTTTGTTCGTCAGCTTGCATCAGTCTACCTGCTCATACTGCAGCCCTTCTCGTTCTCTTAGTCGTACTCGAACTCGTAGGGCGGATGGTACTAAAATGTATTTCAGTGTTGGTGTCTCAATGCGAGCTGACGACTGCATGCGGAGTTGACGTGTTCGTGTGTTTTGGTCTTCCACACTGTGGGCCTCAGTGAGTCAGCCCTTCACTGTGTTGATGTTGAGTTGTTGCCGAGAGAGGGAGCGGAGGCCGTATCTTTTTCTTGCCGGGATGACTACAGATTGCATGTGGGTGCGGTGTGATTCAAAAGTCTTAGACGATAGCAGTGACAGAAAGTACTCGTAGTTGCTTGGTGATCGTTTCAGCTGCTTGCGATTCTGCGAAGCGATCCAAGGAGTCTACGCTTTTTATTGAAGCCTGGAGAGACCGCTGCTATTCTGGGTTGCTGGATGACAGCTTGCTCTACCAGAATGCTAGGTTTATATTATAGTATGTGTGTTGCCTAATAGTATTGTGGAAAACTATTACTTTGAGTTTGATCCTGCTGCTCGATGCAGTGCATTCTGGATGTAAATTCGCTCAATGCTCCTTTGAATTTGGCTATGGAGAAGATCGGTAGTCTAGTCTAGCCATAATCGGCACCGCGCCGTGGGAAACGATGCTCTCCACTTGTTTCAAACTTGTGGTTGGAGATAGGTACTCGCAGATAGTGAACATCAGAACATTCTTCAGGTATGTACGAGTTTCGCAGGTTATGTTTTTGTGCCTTCGAAGACAGTGTTCAGATGAAAATTGCAGGCTAAATAATTTTGATGCGAGCTGTGCATGCCATTCGCTCAACTAGCAAGGGCATCACGGTTTTCCCCTTTGGATGATTCGTTTTGTCACTACTACACTAGCCCTAGATAGCACCAGCGAAGAAAATCGATCGTTGCTGGGGCGCCGCTTGTAGTACTATCTGCGAATGTGCAAGTGTATTCGCTCTGCTGGTCCGGGTGTGACAGGTCGGCTGTGCAGGCGCAGCTTATGCATGCATCCCGGCCGCTAGCTGCAAGCCTCGAATAGAAGCTCTGCTACATGATCGTACTCCATTCCAACTGTTACACCAGGATTGGCAAGAACAAGAGCATTGCCAGAGTTGTGCAAGCTACAGTCTGTACAGAGTCAGTATAATGTGTTGTTGGTTTGACAGCATGAAACAAGGTGGAGGACACTGTGTTCGAAACACAAACAGTGACCTTACTACGACCATCCACGGTTGGTACTGTACTAGTATTACTATTGGATTATCTAATACCTGAGTCAGTACATGTACAAGAACAAGTGCGATACAGCTAGCTGCTGTGCATGTGGTGCACAGTCATATTGCACTACAAAATTCACTCACACAATAATAAAAGTCTAGAGATTATAGTAGTAGACCAGCCAGCATTCATCTGGACTGTAGACTGCAGTTGTGGAGCTGAAGATCAGTAGGCTTTGAACTGCGGTGCAGTCTGAAGTTCACACTCCATGCATGCACGGCTGCGTGGCTGCTGATCATGTAATACAATAGCACGACTGCATGCGTGGAGACTGGAGATAAGACTGCAGCTACTATTGGCTCCAGGCCAGGCCAGGCCAGGCCAATGCAGCACAGAGTTTCTAGTCTCTACTCACAAAGTGATCGTGGATAATCTGTGGATTGGTGCACATAAACCGGTAACTACCAGATAAGCTAATGACCTTGGGCACACAATCATGGCTGATCTCTGCTTGTGCTCCTATTTGCATAGTGAGAAAGGGGTGATCTGTACTGTAGCTAGCCTGGTGTGTTTCAACTGTAAATCTCCAGTGTACTGCCTACTGGGCAGTGGCCACCCTTCCTAGTACTGTAGTTCTGGAACAGCAGGTCATCCACGGACCAGGTCATCTACTGCTATTTTGGATGCACTTGACAAAGCAATAGGAAAGCAGTGCAGTTGCAGCAGCCACTCTCATAGTGGAATTAGAATTACGACTTCCCTTGTGACTGTGCTGTGTGTGTAGTAGGCACTCCACTTACAATACTTCTTTGCACTCTTTACATGCAGATTGCAGTGAGTGATTGTGAAAGCGTGCCCCCTGTACTAGCTGTAGAACTAGAACAACATGTACTTGTAGTAGTAGTACCAGTACTAGTAGGGCATTGGCATTGCTGAATTCATAATGGACTGCATTACTACCAACAATGCTGCTGGCAGGGCTGTGCCCATGGCCCATGTCCAACTGGGGAAATGCCTCTAACTGGCTCCCAAGTATGTGCATATCACATGTCCAGTGCACTTTGCTTTTGCATTCCATCATTGCACCATCCATCCTGTGTTTACTGCTGCCAGATGACCAGGGCTGAAGTGAGTGCACGGTCATTCATCCTCATACAGGGTGTTTGCCAAACAGTGGCATAAAATCTGTCATCAGTCAGCTGTGTGGCTCTTGCCAGTGGTCCATGACTTTATACTATAGTAGTCCCTGAGGCCTTTCCTTCCATACCCTGTACACATTCTAACACAGGTGCCCTTATAACCAACCCAGTCTGTTCCCAGACTTTTTGTGTTTCTGGGCCAAAAGCACGGCACCGTGTGTGTGGTGTGTGTGTGTGGGGGGGGGGCATTCGTGTGTGGCATTCGTATGTGGCATTTGTGTGCGGCGCTAGACATTGGCCGAGCAGTGGGCGTGTGCGTTTACGATGCACTACCACACGGGACACGTGCTGCTTTGGCCGTTGTAACCTGTGCTTTGCAGTATCTTGCTTTTACACGGTGCATTTACACTAGGTTTACACAGACCCCTAGTATCATGGAATCTGGATCGACTTCAATGGTGTGTGTAATGATTATGAGTCGACCCATGCCAGACTTTACTTTACTATGTGTGCAGAACAGTGGCGCTGGGCATGCAGAGCTGCAAGACCTCTTTTGAGACAAAATGTTGCCGTGTGTTCATGAGCCATGGTGTCATCGGTTGGAAAGCATGATGGGTATAGTGTTCGCGGGGTTTGATTCAGGATGCATATATCGCTGGTCCCTAGGGTGTGCAGCATTGATGGACACCGCTGTGCGCTGAGCACACTTTGTCCCTAATGCGATGCACTGCCATGATGACTGGGGCCGAAAATGTTGTTCTTCTGCCAGCAGCACGGCTGAGTTCCTTGTGTTTGTGTCTGCCTGTGTATCAACTTCTCTTTCCCTTCCTCCAGCTTGTTTGGTAATGTCACCATGGCACTGCGTGACTACCCTACAATGGCAGCGACAGCAGCAGCGGCGGCGGCAGACACCTCCACTAATAACTGCAGGCACATAGCAGGAGAGCAGTATCCACTGCAGGATCACATGATCAACACGGCCACTCTGATCACAAACACGCGCCACTGCACGGCCCAGCAGGCGCCTCCCGCTACCCCGTCCTCGGCTTCGGAATACGCAAAGACGCGCCACTGCTCATCCCGGCAAGCCTCTTCCGTTGCCGCCGCTGTATCACCAACGTCGGAGTGCGCGTCGCACCATGCCTGGAAGGAGTCCATCGTGGAGTGTGCCCGCCGCACTCCCCAGCTGATGATCGACGTTAGCGTTGCCGACAACCCTGGCTCGTTCCGGCATGCTGTGTCTTACGCCGCGCCAACCTCTGCCTCCGACGTATCGGTGAGTCCCAGGCTGCAATCGCCGTAACAGATCATGCTCTTTGTACCGTGCTGCTCAATGAAATCCGATCGCATGAGTCAAACACACGTTTTTACGAGCGCACAGCCCAGTATTGACAGGTCTGGGGCTGCACAGCGCCCGACGTGACGTTGACTCGCATGATGGGATTTCATTGAATAGCACTGTACTATGCTGTTTTTGTGCACTTGCATGCTTTTGTAAACGTCTGTATGGTGTAGGCGGTGTGGTTGAACGGACACTATAACTTGTATAAGCCGTGTCTGATGCAAATTTTCGTTTGTACGTGAACTACCTAAAAATGATAGCATTGACTGCACCTTGCAGGCAGGATAGGCTGCTAATGCACTTGACACGAGCAGCCCGAAAGCATCACAATGGCATAGCTCATGCTTGTGGTCTTGGCACTTCAGTCCCGTCTTCTGCCAGCCTGACCCAGCTGAGTGAAATCCTGTCGAGTCACTCGAGTACGCGCCACGTGTTGCGCAGCCCTAGACCTGCGAACATTGGGCTGCGAAATGGTGCAAGGCGCGAACTAGACTTACTCGACCGGATTTCGTTGAGCAGCGCTGTATATTGTGCTACAGTTTTGAGTATGGACAATGCAACACCTGACAAGAGCACTACTAGAACCCAAGTGGTGAAGTTCTCCCGTCTGTGCCAAGCGTGCTCCGATGGCGGGCGGCTAAGCAGCAGCAGCCGGAGGGAACGCCAATCCGTGTGTTCTGAGTGTCAGTCCGTGTGTTCTTGGCATCAGTTTGTATGTTCGTTGTGTCAGTCCGTGTGTTCGTGGTGTCAATCTGTGTGTTCTTGGCATTCGTTGTTTCTTGTACGGTAGGCCCATGCCAACCCCTACGCACCAGCCCGTAAGCCGGAGCCACCGGCAGTCCTGGTGGAGCGTTGGACATTGGAGCTTGCCAAAGTAGGGTGAGTGATGCGAATAATATCTACTGTATAAGCAAGTCTGTGGACAGCAACTGTTTTGCTCTGTTAGAGCTCATCAGCACAGCTCAGAGGACCGAAGCGCAGCTCTTCGCAATGAAATACGTTTCCGTGAAGCAAAGCATTTTTATAAAGAGCTGCAAACCCCGCCAAGGGTGCTCGAAATGCTCCAAGAGCAGTGAGCGCTGCACAAGGCGAGCGGCAAGGGTTCGCGCTAAGGTAAGAGTGCTCAACCTAACGACATTGCTGACGCTAGAGAGCATAATACTCAAGTCTGTGGACAGCAACTGTTTCGCTCTGTTAGAGCTCATCAGCACAGCTCAGAGGACCGAAGCGCAGCTCTTCGCAATGAAATACGTTTCCGTGAAGCAAAGCATTTTTATAAAGAGCTGCAAACCCCGCCAAGGGTGCTCGAAATGCTCCAAGAGCAGTGAGCGCTGCACAAGGCGAGCGGCAAGGGTTCGCGCTAAGGTAAGAGTGCTCAACCTAACGACATTGCTGACGCTAGAGAGCATAATACTCAAGTCTGTGGACAGCAACTCTTTCGCTCTGTTAGAGCTCATCAGCACAGCTCAGAGGACCGAAGCGCAGCTCTTCGCAATGAAATACGTTTCCGTGAAGCAAAGCATTTTTATAAAGAGCTGCAAACCCCTCTGTATGACTATAAGCAGAAATATTCGTCTGGAATTTAATTTCGTCTTTTTCGTCCAAGGAGCTTTTGGACTAAATTAAATGCCGGACTAATGTCGATTTCTCAACTTTCTATACACTCTTATGATCCATGGACGAAATTTTCAAACGGACGAACTCCCTTTCTTTGGAGTTGGACGGAATTATTGACCGACGAAATTTTCTGGCTCTACAGTACGTGACTGCATACAGTACGAGTAGTAGGGCAGACCCGAATTTGCTAGCAATTCTTCTAGCAAAATATCGAGGATTTCAGAAGAAGAATTTGCCGGCAAAATACGAGCAAAATATCGAGATTTTGCCAAGCAAAATGAGGAAAATCATGCTGAAAGTGGCAGAATGCTCCCTGTCTTTGAATGATTGTGTCGACATGGTTCGTGCTGGCTGCACTATGACTGCACTGCAGCACCATCGACACTATCTGAGTGGATTCCACAGTCAATCAATACCCAAAGCACCTTAGAACATGCAATATGCCACCCCACTGAGCCCAGAACCCACAGACTTTCCATGAGCATTTGTTGAATGCACGCGATAGCGAGCGGAACGAATTGACAGCGTAAGCAACGAATTACTGAAGTAAACGGGGTGGAAAATCATAGGATCAAGAAGGGTTGACTGCTCATAGTGATCAAGAAGAGATAAATAAAAAACCAAGGAACGAATTGACAGCGTAAGCAACGAAATACTGAAGTAAACAAGGTGGAAAATCAAAATGAAAATCGTTGGACCAAGAAGGGTTGACTACTCATCGTGATCAAGAAGAGATAAATAAAAATCTCGAACAAATTGACAGCGTAAGCAATGAATTACTGGAGTAAACCATGGCAAACGGAGTGGAAAATCAAGATCAAGATCGTTGAGTGATCAAGAAGCGACAGGATAATATAATTATTTCATCAAGAAATGACAGCACAGATCCTAACAATGCCATGGCACTAGCAAGGGTAAGAAGATAAAATAATAGAAGCTGACGAGATCATTGCAAGGCTTGGACCAGAACTTCAATCAAATCAAAAACTAAGGTGAAGGTAGATCGTCTGTGCAAAACTTCTCGACATTCATTCGTGCCATCAATGTGGCCTCAACAGTCTCCTCCAACATTGACTCTTGTCGGCTGCTGATCAAACCATTCAACAGGGAGAAGACTCGCTCGCTTGCCGCACTGGATGGTTGGACCAATAGCACGACCTTCAATGCACTGACCAAGGCAGGCAGATCATCATCATGGCGACGCCACCACTTGAGTGGCTGCACGGACGAATCCAGCTCATCAACAGCTGCTGCATAGCGAGGGACTTCAGCAGCAACAGCATTTGCCAGAGATGCAATTGTCGGCTGGCTGGCGACTGCACTCTTGAAGTCCTCCACAGATGGCTTCCTGTCAGCCATGATGCGCTGGTTGAAGAGGCTTGCAACTTTGAAAAAGCTCATCTGCTTCTCAAACTCGGCTGGAGTTCCATCAGCACCAATGAACTTCTTGCAGAAGTGTTTCAAGCCAGGCTCGACGCACTGAATGCCATACGATCGCAGGTTCTGCTGGGTCTCCTCCTGGCCTGGACACAGGGCTTTGCACAAGGCAGTCAGCTTCGGGAAGCTGGCCATTTGCACCGATGCCTGCACATTCTTAATGACTTGATGAGCGATGAGCACGAGAGGGCCATCCCCTTCCAAATTGTAGGTGGACTTGACAATTACTTCACCAGCGTCAACCACAGCAGCCATCTCGATTTGAATCAGCCCTCTCGCCTGTGCATTATCGAGCAATGCGAGAAGCTTGCGCACCGTTGCAGGTGCGATGTCGGTCTGCGATGCAACAAAGCCATGGACGTCCGGGAACATTTCCACCACTTGCTGAATCACCTCCCATCTTGACCACCACCGCGTTTTCGATAGGAGCTTCACACTCAGGCCTGTCCGCTCCCTGAAAGCTAGCCGAGTCTTGAATGAGTGTGAGAAAAGCGAGACCCAGGCATTAACGAACTCTGTTGTATTGGGGATCTTGAAATTCTCCCCAGCACGGTCGAGCGTATGGCTGAAGCACGTCACATCCAGTAATGAAGGAAACAGCTGCTCGAGGTTCCGGATGGCTGCAGTGTTCACGGATGCACCATCTCGCATGCAGGCAAGTACATTCCGACGAGACACACGCAGGTCCTCCATGAGTATGTCGACCAGAGCACCACTCACACCAGAAGCTGTCATGGATTTCTCCACGCACCGAACAGCAGCAAGCCTCTGGCAGATACGTAAATCATCTGTGATAAAACGCACGACAACAGCAAAGGCTTCACCGAGCCTTGTCGATCCGTCAAAAATGCAAGATACACTTCGACCTTCCAGCTCCTTGCACAAGTCCTTCTTGAATAAGTTGTGGATGACGGTTACGCACTCCCTCAGATGACCTGGTGTGGTGAGACGATAGCCTCCCTCCTCCAAAAGTTCCCTGAAATCACCCGTCACAGTGCTGAGTGGGATACCCGACTCCAGCAGGCATTTGGTGACTCGAAGGCGGTACAAGCGTGTGTTCTCTGGCAGGTTCTCACCAGAGGGATGGTATTGACTTGCATACTGCCGGAGATGATCGGTGATGGTCATGCATTGAACAGACTTCTGCTTTGCTGTCTCTTTGCTGCGCTGGTGTTTGGCAGACTTGATGTGTGCTGCAATTGAACTCTTCTTTGTTGACAATTCCTCACGACAACTGGAACAAAATAATTTTCCAGCATCAACGCTCAACCCCTCGCCTGGAAACTCCTTTAGTCTGTCCCTCGGGTTAATGGTTGGTACAAAGCTAGCAGACTTGTCACTTGAACGACCAGGACAGGATTTCTTGGCCGGATTACCCTTTGTAAGGTTTGATGGCATGGAGCGTTTCCGCGAAATATCGGCTGCCTTTGGAGCTTGAAACCTGGCGACAAACTCTGATACTTTGTCTTTGTCATCCTGACGATCATTATCACTGCCACCAGAGGGAGCTGCCGCTTCAGTGGCCTCAGCTGTGTCACTAGTCGAGTCAGTGATAACCAAGACTTCATTGGAAGCCATGGCGAAACACCTTTGCAACCACAGCTGACACGAGCAAAAAGGAAGCAAAATATTGCACACCGAGCAAAATGAAAGCAAAATTTCGACGATGCACGAGCAAAATTATGCCGCAAAATATCGAGATTCAGCTGGCAAATTCGGGTCAGCCCTAACGAGTAGTGTGGCCCCTTATGTTTGGTCATGTGACTGCCCAGTAAGAGACAGACAACAAGAAACCGAACGTCAACGGACAAGCCACCGTGTGAGCTCCCATAGCTCAGTCGGTTAGAGCGTCGTGCTAATAACGCGAATGTCGCAGGTTCGAGCCCTGCTGGGAGCACGCTCTCTTTTTTTTCTTTTTTTTCTTCTTTTTTTGACCTTGCTATCTCTCCAACAAGGTGTCGTACTGAGAGTCTGAAACTGTTCCTTCATGTACAGTTGTGGTCGGTGAAATCCGATCCAAAGTGCATATTTGGCGAGCCGCAGAGGTGATTTTTCCCTATACTTATTGAGGAAAGAATAGTCCGGTTGAGCCGCTCTGGCCCCGGAAAATGCGTTACCTGACTACATGTAATGTTCCTGCAGTGTTCCTTTACTGGTCATAGTGCCACTGCACTACCATTATGCAGCAAGGACTGATTTGTACAGCTCCTTGCTGCCGGGTATCACGGCATGTAATGCTATTGAGTCCGGCTGTGGGCGAGCGATGTTCGTCTGAGTGTGCCTGACACATGCATCACAGGACTATTACGTGTACATGACCGCCACCCACATGCACATACGCACGCGCATGCACACACTCGAGCACACATACACACACATACACACACACACACACACACACACACACACACACACACACACACACACCGTATTATCTCTAATATAAGCACAGTCTCCAATAATAGCACGTCTCCAATAATAGAACACCTTGGGGCGACATTCAAAAAATAAAGTGCTCAGTCTCCATTATAAGCACACTGTGTAAATTCATTATCTGTACCGGCGAAAAAACCCTGAAAATGTGTGTGTCTGACATGAATTTGGCATGGCAACAAGCCTCTGAAATGAGGTTGAAATAATAATGGAACAGTCTCCAATAAAGGAACGTCTCCATTAATAGCACGGGGCGGAGGTACATCGAAAAATAAAGGACCGTGCTTATATTAGAGATAATACGGCATATCTATATACGGCGTGCAATAAATTCACACTGTCGAGTTCTTCTCTTGTTCTGTGTACATGCGGTGGTCAGCATGGAGGCAAAGGAGAAATCAGTTCGCTTGGCAAACCTGCAGCAGGCAATGAAGTCCACATTGCTGTTTTCACAGCTGCAGTCTTGGCTAACACTGGCTGAGGGCAGGTGGCATGTAGCAATCAATTACAAGTAAGTTATGAGACATGGTGGTGGCCTGGTACAAGCGAAACTTAAGCTGGTTTTGTGTTCTCAACACAATTGTAAGCCGGTGGTAAAGCGGATTTGCAAACTTCACTTTTTTTCTTTTTTTAAAACTTGTTTAGTCCCTGGTGTGCTTGCCACCTTGTAGCCAAGCCTTATGAAAAGGCGAATTACTTTGGAACGATTTGTGGTGCAAAAGGAATTGTAATTAGCTATGTGCGGCAAGAAAGAAACTGAATATTACCATTAGAAGTAGGTGTAAAGGGACAGTGTGAAAGATTTTCAGTTGCACTGCAATGCATGCGGAGTCAATCGCCCAAAGAGGTCGCAGATAGGAGAGGCATGCGGAGGGATTGGTAATCTGTTCGCAGGAGCTTCAATCTGACTGGCGTATGGGCAAGGGCTGGCAGCTTAGATGGACAGAATCAATAGACAATAGACAGTGCATGGGAATGTGGTATGACGTACTTGTATGTGCGTGTGTAGTGATGCCATTGCTGTGGAGATGTTGTCCAAGTCTTCTTCTGACAATGCGTGTGGGTATTAGTTGACTAGCGGTGAACCCTGCAAGAAGACTGTCCCGATAATACCAATGCTTATAGTTTACTCTTATGGCACTAGGGCTGAAACGATTATACCAATCCAATTAATTACTCGGTGAGCGATCGATAATTCCTTATCAATCAAGTAATCGTTACGTTATAGATTACTCGTTGGGGATTTTGAGTCCAAAAAGTACTGAAAATCCTTGTTTTGTGAAGTTTGAATCAGTTTCCACTGTGAGTATGCAGTGGCCTGGGACATGGTGCATATTCTGAGGTTAAATTGACTTCAAAACTACCATGTTTCGGACCTACCCTGTCACTAATGCAGATTTTTGGTAGTATGAAAGCCTAGCTTTCGGAAACAGAGTAATTTTCGCACAAAATTCTGACACTAGTTTGATTATAATCAATTGATTGATCGTTAAGCTAAAGAGTAATCGATAAGTGAAAATACACGATCTTTTTAGCCGTAAAAAAACACACCTGGCGAAATGGCTGGAAATTCATTCACCTGAACACCAGTTCTCTTGTGTTTCGTATGTATGGTTTTCCGACTCCTCAGGCTGGCCAACATGTTTGAATTCCCACGGGACGAAGACTTTCCTCTGCCACCTACACACAGTGGCAAGCAGCTGGCGGTGAACTCGTTCCCGGCTGCATGCGTAGACGCGGAGCACGTACTGCGCGTGCGCTGCCTGTCGCTACGCTACAGCCACAACATTCCGTTCGCCTCGCCGGAGCTGATCCGGCTCGTGGCCAAAAGACGGGACGCCGCGTGCAGCCGCTCCAGCGCGAGTTCTTCGTCGACCTCGGCGGCGCGAACAGCGCGCGCTCGTTTCATGGCAGAGAGCCTATCTCCGCCGCCGGAGAAGCCTCCGCGGTCCAATAAGCGGCGCAGCAAGCTGCTCAAGGATCCGGAGCACGAGGCCGGCAGTGGCGTTAGCAGTACTTGTGGTGCTGCTCTGCTGCAGTTGAGTACGTGCTCCTACTGCGGTGCCGTCAGCGACTGCGAGAAGAACACAGCCGGCCGCTTAAAGCGCAAGTCCCACAGCAAAGCTCGTAAGAGTGATGTCACTGAATCACAACCGTCGTCATCAGCATCATCATCATCATCATCAGCAGCAGCATCTGCTGCTCAACTTGTGGTACCAGCACAGCCGGTACGAGTCAAGTCTCCGCCGAGACCTATATCTCCCGTGGTGTATTGGCCTGCAGTCGACTCTCGTTCCAGCGATACACCATCGTTATCACCAATGGTAGGTTTGACTTAAGCTGTGTTCCCAACTGGCGCGTGGACGCGGTACGCTTGCGGTTCATGCGTGCCCAAATGCTCGCTCAAGCTTTCACAAGAAACAGCAATCCGAGTCGTATTTAGCGCGTGCGACACCTTCGAGTACTAATTTGTTGACCCCGCCAGTCAAAGTGACTGGCATGTACGTTGGTACGCGCCTGATACGCGCTGAAAATTCCAACATGTTGGAATTTCCATTTCGTCGTGTTCCCGTACGCATGGCGCCCCAAAAGCCAGCAAAAATACGCACGAATGCATGGTTTCACGCGTACACGCGCCAGTTGTGAACACAGCTTTAGGAACAGGGGCTGATTCTCTGTTGCGATACGCAAGTAAAGAGCTTTATTTCGATATGTGGTACCGGCCACATTTCCCAAATTTAATTTCTTTGTGAAAATAATAGAATCTTCAGGTGAGGGGGGGGGGGGAGTACGCTGATTAATGTAAAACACTTTACTTCCACTTTTGAAAGTGTATGCTCTTGGCTGTCAATTCGTATCGTATGATTCAGTGCAATATCCTATCTATCACTGTCTCTGCCTTTTGTTCGTTTTAGTCGACATCATCTGGCGGGAATTCATCGTACGACGCTTCTCTGCCATACCGGCAGAACTCCGCGCCTCTGCCACACATCGACACCTCCTCCTCGGAGCCGTCATCGCACTCGGAGCGCGGCGGTGTTGCCGCCTTGCGGTCCGTATGCTCTAGCAGCCTACTGGGAAAGGAATCGGTCGCCAAGATCTCCTACCGGCGCATGTGAGTCATGTGCAGCCTGTACGTACACCAGTGCTTGGTTACCTGGTGAACGTTTGACAGCATGTTACAAGGCGAAGGACGCGCTGTGTTAAAAACAGTGCTCCTGACTGTCTTGCAACATGCTGTCAAACTTTCACCCCATGTTTACTTTTTTTGAAGTACAGTAAAACCGACCACCCCACGGTGCAAGCAAAAGCGGTCGTTAAAGCCAGGTGGTCTTTAGAACCAGGTCCCACAGTGTCTGTGTAGAACTGTCGGTGCATGGAAAAACGGTCGTTAAGAGCAGGTGGTCGCTAAACACGGGGGCCGCTTACACCAGGTTTTACTGTGCAGTGAATCGTGTGACTAACGACCACCCCTTGGGGTCAGAGAAAGCGGTCTTCAGTGGCAGGTGGTCCTTAGCTAGAGGTTTGCACCGCACAACCATAATAATTATATGAATGTGAGACCGTCCCTGCCTGGTGAAGTGGTCTGTAGTACCAGGCTGGTCGCTAGTCACGGTGGTCTTTAGTTACAGGTTTTACTGTAGTACCAGGCTGGTCGCTAGTCACGGTGGTCTTTAGTTACAGGTTTTACTGTAGTACCAGGCTGGTCGCTAGTCACGGTGGTCTTTAGTTACAGGTTTTACTGTAGTACCAGGCTGGTCGCTAGTCACGGTGGTCTTTAGTTACAGGTTTTACTGTAGTACCAGGCTGGTCGCTAGTCACGGTGGTCTTTAGTTACAGGTTTTACTGTAGTACCAGGCTGGTCGCTAGTCACGGTGGTCTTTAGTTACAGGTTTTACTGTAGTACCAGGCTGGTCGCTAGTCACGGTGGTCTTTAGTTACAGGTTTTACTGTAGTACCAGGCTGGTCGCTAGTCGCGGTGGTCTTTAGTTACAGGTTTTACTGTAGTACCAGGCTGGTCGCTAGTCGCGGTGGTCTTTAGTTACAGGTTTTACTGTAGTACCAGGCTGGTCGCTAGTCGCGGTGGTCTTTAGTTACAGGTTTTACTGTAGTACCAGGCTGGTCGCTAGTCACGGTGGTCTTTAGTTACAGGTTTTACTGTAGTACCAGGCTGGTCGCTAGTCGCGGTGGTCTTTAGTTACAGGTTTTACTGTAGTACCAGGCTGGTCGCTAGTCGCGGTGGTCTTTAGTTACAGGTTTTACTGTAGTACCAGGCTGGTCGCTAGTCGCGGTGGTCTTTAGTTACAGGTTTTACTGTAGTACCAGGCTGGTCGCTAGTCACGGTGGTCTTTAGTTACAGGTTTTACTGTAGTACCAGGCTGGTCGCTAGTCACGGTGGTCTTTAGTTACAGGTTTTACTGTAGTACCAGGCTGGTCGCTAGTCACGGTGGTCTTTAGTTACAGGTTTTACTGTAGTACCAGGCTGGTCGCTAGTCACGGTGGTCTTTAGTTACAGGTTTTACTGTAGTACCAGGCTGGTCGCTAGTCACGGTGGTCTTTAGTTACAGGTTTTACTGTAGTACCAGGCTGGTCGCTAGTCACGGTGGTCTTTAGTTACAGGTTTTACTGTAGTACCAGGCTGGTCGCTAGTCGCGGTGGTCTTTAGTTACAGGTTGCACTGTACATACACCCTGCTGGGGCATGACTTGTATAGTAAACCCTGTGTTTGCCGGACACTGTACCAAGCGGAATGCTGCATTGACCGGACAAATGTTCATGCACCGAAGTGCTACGTGGATTGAACGTGCATCCCTGGATCAAGCGGAATCCTCTCGTATCAGGACAGTTTCCGGTGCACCGAGGGCGTCTGGTTTGGTAGGGCTGGTACTGTCTCTTCACCGATTGCGCATCTGGTTGTGTGAGATAGCCAGGCGTCAATGGTGCAGACCTAACTCTAGACTAGTGGCTGCCGGTACTGAGCACAGGACCCACCTGTAGAGGTTAAACGATTACATCATCGGTTGAGATGGCTTGGCAAAGTCGTGGCACGGCATGATGCACTAGCGACGCACGCTGTATACACAGCGCCCTTAACATATTTATAGTGGTTGTAGACAGACATTTCTGTCTTGGATTGGAGTACGTGAGCTGTGGGTTGAATCTTCTTGAACTGTAGTTTTAATCTTGATTCTGAAGGCGTTCTGTGACACTTCTGCTATCTACTGCTGTTTGTGGCTCGCACAGGCTGCAATCTGACAACGTCTTTGTAGGTTCACCGCACCCCAGCATGGTGAGGACTGCGCTACACCTGTACTGTAATCTTATTTGCTATTCTTATCTTGCTGTTGTGGGGTGGGTAGATTGACAAGTGCACTCATGTGTGTGTGTGTGTGTATGGGGGGCGTTGATGTCTGTGTGTGTGTGTGCAAACACTGGTTGACAAAGGGTCAATATCCGCCGATGCTTATATCTGCTGCTGTATGTGTGTGTCTGTTGGGGGGGGGGGGGGGTATTTGTGTGTGTGCAAACACTGGTTGACAAAGGGTCAATGTGCACCGATGCTTTTATCTGCTGCTGTATGTGTGTGTGTGTGTGGGGGGGGGGGGGTATTTGTGTGTGCAAACACTGGTTGACAAAGGGTCAATGTGCACCGATGCTTTTATCTGCTGCTGTGGGTGTGGGGGGGGGGGGGGTGTCTTTGTGTGTGTGTGTGTGTGTGTGTGTGTGTGTGTGTGTGTGTGTGTGTGTGTGTGTGTGTGTGTGTGTGTGTGTGTAAAAAATGGAAAAATGAAAAATAGGGATTCACTGGCCAGAAAAAGTCACTTCAAACTGTTGTGGATACCAGGCTAAAAATAGTGGCGGTCAATTCATCAGCCTTGCAAGCTGTTGAATGGTGTAATCCCAGCACAAGTTGCTATGTCTAACATAGCTGTTTGCTATCATCGCTTCCGCGATGGGCATGTCTGAGGTGTGTATGTGTGCGTGTGCGTGTGTGTGCATGTGTGTGCGTGTGTGTGTGTGTGTGCGTGTGTGTAAACACTGGTTGGCAAAGCATCAATGCGGCACCGATGCTTATATTTGCTGCTGTTTGTGTGCCTGCTGCGTACTCATTGCTGCAGCTGGCACCTCACCAGACTCCTACCGGGCTGAGGAGGCGAACCAGCTGGTCAGGTCCGCTGTCTACATCACCGCTCCTCGGCACATTCGAGGTACGCTACATACAATTTACGCAGTGTGGAGTGTAGATAGAGTTGACTGCTGCAGCACTGATGATTGTTGATCACTTTCGTGCATTGCGAATACCTTCTGATCATAAGCTGCAGGCTTTCCTCCCAATCGACTTGCAGGAGGTCAAGTAGAGGAGAGACTTATATTCACTAGCTGTGGGAATAGAAAAGAGAAAAGTCCGAAGAAATTTTTTTCACCACCAGGACTCTAACCAGATGGACCTTCGCTTCAGGCCAGCGTAGAGACTGTGTATGGCTTGGTTTTACATCACCTTAACTGTTATGGCTCCCACCCTTATCTGTGTGTTTGGTTGGTGTTGATGGATGTATGTGCTGCCAATAGGAGTCTATGTTCGCTGGACGCCTCACGCCTGCTAGCAGTTTGGCGGTAAGTTGTAAACGCGTGCAAGCGTGTGCCATCATCTGTACTGTGTGTGGGGTCGTATCTGCCTGTTAGGTACTGCCATTTGAGTCACTCCCATCTGAGGCTGTGCTCTCTCTCTCTCTCTCTCTCTCTCTCTCTCTCTCTCTCTCTCTCTCTCTCTCTCTCTCACACACACACACACACACACACACACCACACACACACACACACACACACACACACACACACACACACACACACACACACACACACACCCATACATACACACACACACACATACACACACACACACACGTGCGCGCGCATCCACTCTCCTCTTTTTTTCTCACTCTTGTATGAATATGTATGCACAAACACACACACACACACACACACACACACACACACACACACACACACACACACACACACACACACACACAAACACACACACACACACACACACACACATGCATGCACTAACGCACGTACACACACACACATTTACACGCATGCACAAATACACACACGCACTCGATGGTATAAGCCCATTGCACATTGCCAAATATGGATTGCATAAGTAATGCATGTGAGTACACTGGGATCAGGAATGCACTGTTCAACGCCCCAGACGACCATGCCTACAGGTAGCTGTGTGGAGTGTTTAAGGTGCAGATTACGCCATGCATTGCACAATGGGCTTATTCGTGCTTGTCCGTACTTCCTGTGTATACGTGTGTTCCTGCCCTGATAGGGTTACCGGCTGCACATACGCTGTCGCTGTGTGCAATGCAATACATCGGCAAGTCACGACACGCTTGATCTACAGACAGACTTCTTCGAAACGGAATCAGGTGCCCCTTCACCTTATCTGGTATGTGAATATGATCCTGCTGTTTCTTTGTTGTAAATTACGGGCTCAATCTGTGGACAGAACTGTTTCGTCCTTTGTGGACTCATCAGCGCAGCACAGAGAAAATGATGCCGAATCTGATAGCAATGAAAAATAAATTTTCCAAAGCCAAATTTTAAACCAGGCCCGAATGTACCTTGCCAGAGTGCTCAAACTGACAAGTCAGCGAGCTCTGCCTAACGCAAACAGCAAAGGCACTACCCCACATGAGAGCGCTCAACTACTACAAGAGTAGAAGCGAAATAAATTAAGTAAATTTCATACATGGACTGTGTCTTATTACCGTGTACACTGTTTTTTATCAATACACACGTGCTCTGGACAATGTCCATACTGAGCTAGAATAGGTCTTATCAGAGAACAAAGTGAGTTCCACTGTAGTAGTGGTGGTAGTAGTAGTAGAATTTATTATTTTGATAGGGAAGGCCCTACAGACGTTGCCGTCTTGTTACAGGGAACCCTAAGTGCTCTTTACAGAGCGAAACAAAAACGGATAGATGCTCAACTCGACGACACGAGACAGGCAGAGAATCGCGGTACATTAATGACAACAAAAAGTTACTTGTAAAAGTAAAAACACTCGGGACTGTATCTGATCCAGAGAGGTTTTGTCCACTTATAACAGTAAAGTGCTGTAAACCCTCCAATATTCGTGTCCCTAATTTTCGCTATTTCTCAGAACCAGCGCGTTTACAATGGCAAATTTTCGCGGAGCACATACATCGCACACATCCATCCACTGCTGTAGTTTTGATTTCACGCTGATTACTGTTTGCGTTACGCTCTTCTTGCGGAAACAGCGAACAGTAGGCTGTTTACAGTACAGTCAACTTTGTGAATAACGACATTGGGCGGGGCATCAGAAAAGTGTCCTTATTCGCGAAGTGTCCTTATACCCGAAGTCTCATTTGAATGTATGTGAACCCATATTTTGTATAGTATGACATGCATATCGAAATGAAGCTCTTTTCATGCTCCACGTCAATTTGTACTTTATTTTCGTATTGCAATTGAAGGAAACTATAAAGTCAATATCCAAGGGAAATAAATTGAAAAATTAGCCTTTTGGAGCCATCTTCAGGGACATGTTCATGTACGTGTATGAAGATTAATGTGCAATCATGTACATGTACAATAGGTGTGCTGATCATTCCAACTATTTTGAAGCAAAGAAAAAAGAAAAAGCACCCCCCCCCCCCCCCCCCTGGCTGTATCTTCTTGTATGTGTGCCTTATCCATCGCCACGGGTTCTGGTTCTTCTGCATGACAGGTACTTGAAATAGCTGTCAAAAACCCAGAAAGTCGTTATTCAAGCAGTGAATATGACCTCGGGGCACTAAAATCATGTCGCTATTCGCGAATTGTCGTTATTCAGATAGTCGTTATATCCGAAGTTTAATGTATAAAGTTAGATGGGACTTTGCTCTGGGCATCGAAATTCTGTCGTTATTCGCGAATTGTCGTTATATCCGCAGTCGTTATTAGCGAAGTTGACTGTAGTGTGTGTGTGTGTGTGTGTGTGTGTGTGTGTGTGTGTGTGTGTGTGTGTGTGTGTGTGTGTGTGTGTCCTTAGCTGATAATATGTATTCCTCCTGTCACGTTTCTCCAGGGCACGGCCAAGGCACCACGCGAGTCATTCCACGTGTCCAGGAAAGGCATCCTGCAAGCGGTGAGTGAGTGATCAAGCGAGCGAGTTCATGAACAAAACCTGATATAGTGAACTTTCAGTATAAGGAACTGTGGATATGTCATTCTCTTGGGTCCAACGTACTGTCGTGGACATGGAAATCCAGTCGAATGACCGGGGCCAGCGCCCTCAGTGCGTACGGAACGTAACGTCGTCGTTGCATGCAATGCACTGCACATGTTGAGCGTATGCATACTCACACCTGAGTCACGACTGCATGGCCTGCGCCCTGGGGCCCTACGCTTGACCTCCGACCGGATTTCCATGTCCGTGACGGTATTATTTGGGTGGCCTTGCTGTGCATTTAATTCATGAAAGCTTGTCGCCGTGGACCAGTGAAGTCCTGCAAACGAAACATTTTTCCCACCGCGAAGTTGCTGTGCTTAGGGCCCGGTCACACATGCACTGCTGTTCCACTTTGGCGGCGAGTTTCCGCGGCAGCGAGACTGGTGCCTCTCCAGCGGAACCACGTGTGTATGGTCACACATGACAGACGGGGCAAGCTCCTACTTTGGCGGAAACGATGAGAGTAAAGTAGTGTTGAAACGAATAATCGAATAATCAAATAATTTAGAATATTCGTGGGGTGAACGAATAATCAATAGTCGTAGGAATTATCAGAAATCGAAAAAAGAAAAAAAAATCGTTCCACTTTGGCGGCGAGTTTCCGCGGCAGCGAGACTGGTGCCTCTCCAGCGGAACCACGTGTGTATGGTCACACATGACAGACGGGGCAAGCTCCTACTTTGGCGGAAACGATGAGAGTAAAGTAGTGTTGAAACGAATAATCGAATAATCAAATAATTTAGAATATTCGTGGGGTGAACGAATAATCAATAGTCGTAGGAATTATCAGAAATCGAAAAAAGAAAAAAAAATCTATGCTCAGTGCTGACCCTACTGATATTTGCACTGCGTAGATCTGCTCGCAGTATTTCTTCTTAATCTCTTCTCCTCTAAGTTTTAATCACCTATCGGCATCTAGTAATACTTCTGTTCTTTCCATACGAGGGAAACATGGATGCAGTGAAGATCCAATTACGCTCGACCAAGACCCTATGCGATATGCAGAGCTGGATCAGGCGTTGCACACTCTGGGGGGTTATGTACTCTTGGCGGTACATGTTAACCGGTTTTGCACCTCCACATTCCTGGGTTATATCCGAAAACTAAAATATGTAGGTCAAAGAGAAAACTCCCAGCTGTCCATTGAAACAATCGCTGAAGCGCTCTGAGGTGTGGTTACAGAGTTACGAAGCTCGAAAGTCGAATCGGGGCAAATGTCGCTCAATAGCCGCTCGCGCAAATTTGAATGAGGGATTTCCCCATCATTCTGGGCATGCAGTGACGTAGAAACACGTTCAAAATGGTAAACGGACTCATGGCAGTTTGTGACATTTTTTAGAAGTAACATTTAGTCGTTACGAGCAAGGAGAGCGAAATGGCTGATGCAAGACGACTTCTGTCGGAATATTGGCGTTGCAGCTAATACGCTGGGCTGTAGCGCTGGCGTTTTGACCTTCGTGGTGGCAAGCGTGGGCTCAATGTGTTCCTCTTGCAACGAGCTTTCCAGGAAGCCCAAGATTGAAAAAATCGTCAAAAGGAGACTAAAGTTATGACCCGGATAATTATAGAATTTGAGGTGAGTCGAGATCAAATTCAGTCTGTGTACAATTTTTCAGTACATAAAGGGTTAAAAAGTGCTGAAAAAGTGTTGAAAAATGCCATCATGCGTACGATAGAATATAGATTATTCGTTCGATGGAGGGCGAAATTATTCGATAGATTATTCGTTCGAAGAATCTGTGTTCGGTTTAAACACAAGAGTAAAGTGGACTGTGGTGCATACGGTACGGAAAATAGACGAGGTCAGTGCATGACTATCAGCGAGCTGCCACGCATTTTTGTTGCATGGACATCATACGCGTACAAATTTCTCGTAGCAAGTTCATATTCAGCCGACCATGGTGTATTCCGCTGAAGCGAAACCGCTGAAGCGAGAGTTCCGCTCCCAAAATTTTGGAGGCAGCGGATTTGAGTTTCTGCTGGAGCGGTAGCTCCGCTTTTCGCAGTTGGCATGGTATTTTCCGCTCCTGCGGTGTCGCTTCAGCAGAACCGCTACTTTTGAGTGCACGTGTGACCGGGCCGGGCCCTTAGCAACAGTACAATTTTGGCTCCTGGAGATACGTTATTTTAAATTTTTATGTATTTTTATTTTATTTCACCGTCCAATGGCAGAAGCCAATGCAAAGGAGGGGGCGTTAGCCAGCTATGGCAGTTATCACTTAGAAAGATTTGTCACTTCACTTTGATTGTATTTTTTAGGAGAAGGGCAGGTGGCACTGGAGCATCCCAGTTTCTTGCGTGCTTCGTACGGTACATGCTTAGGAGACACAGTGATTGTCTTGGTCAACAGTCGTTTTGGAGACAAATCTTACACAGTCTTGTCTCTGTATTGTCTTGGTCCAGTGTACTGTAAAAGCCTTATATCATAATTATATAGCGAAGTGCTAAATCTAACAAGTCAACGAGGAAAAATGTGTCGTTAAAATAGAGAACGTTTTACAGAAATCGATATTTATACTTTTGCTAGTGAGCGTTGGGAATGAGTGAGAATCGTTATCTTTTTGGTACACGTACACTGGTCGGTTTTAGGAAATCGTTAGAATAATGGCTTTAACAGAATTTCTGATCTGATCTTGGCCGCCGGTCTCTTGTCATGGTTGCAGATACTGATACGGCCGAGCGGTAGCGTACTGCGTGTGTTCCTCGTGCCGTACGATTTGTCTCACCTGGAGTGCGGCATGACGACGTTCATCCGGCAGCGGGTGATGTCATCGTCGCCGTCCGCAGATGCTTCCGCCAAGCCCACGCTTCTCTACGCCATCCACTTCAGGTGTGTTGCTGTAGTTGTTTGTTTGTTTTTACTTTGCCAAATACACAGACAGGCATTTCTGCCTTCTCGTCAAACCATATGACTAGATGTGTTACCCGAGGTTGTCATTTGCCAGCTTGACTGTACTCTGTATAGTACGATACGTTACCACCAGGGCTCTAGCCAGGAAGAAATTGTAGGGGGTAAAAAATCCAAAAATGAGTAGGGTGGAGCGCTATCAGAGTAGGGGGCACACTGCCCCACCCCCTTCGCTTTAACCTTGAGTATGAGTACGCTATGCTTATATCCACACTAGCACTGTCTGCAGAGGTTCCACTGCACTGCGTACTGAAATGAATGAGCATTTCAACGTATTGTGCTGAGCGACCTTGAGTTGACCTTGTGCTGCTGTCTTGGTATCTCGTTCTGCTCCCCCCCCCCCCCCCCCCCCCCCCCCGGTGACGTATGACTGCAGCCTGCGTCGCTCCGACCCTGGCGGTGCCCTGCACCTGCACAAGCAGATTCGCGTGGTCTTCTCGCCGCTGCCACCGGACGTGTACGACGTCGCCGACAAGCACAAGCTAGTCACTGACACCCTGGGCCCGCACATCCCCACGGCGACGCAGTCCCAGCTGCTGTGCTCCGAGGAGCTGGGGGAGTGCGACGCCGCCGTAACTCAGTCTGTTGCGGACGTCGCCAGCCCCATGCTGTCGCCGATCGCCTACCCGATGTGCCTACAACGCGCAACAAGTTCACATGGCGTGCACAGCACAGCAACAACAACAACAACATGTCAGCTCACGGCTGCGAGCACCAGAACGCTGCTCTCGCCGCAGGAATTGCTCTGCAAAAAGCAGGAGGTGGCCGCTGAGCTTGCCACACAGGGCCGTTGCTCAACACCACCGCCACTCCGAGTTCCATAGCGTGGCAGCGGCCCTCTCTCCACACTTCTAGATAGTATACCAGACCTTGCTTTATTCTCCTATCATGTCCAAGCCAGTCGTTTGCTCCGGTATGTTCTACTAGTATTTTACAAGTCTAGTGCTTTTACTCCCCCAACTATTTTCCCTTTATTTTTTAACAGATATTGCGTGGATGTGCTTGTGTGTGTGTGTGTGTGCATTTGCATGTTGGTGTGTGTGTGCTTGCATACAAGTGTGTCGGTCCAGCTAACCTTTCAAATCCTAGTCTGCATTGCCAACCTGGTTCTATTTATGCCCATGGTGGTTGTTATCTTCTAAACTATGTACGGGCAGGTTGCTTTATTTATTTCATCGGTACGGGTCATTTCCATTGGCCAATTCGATGTCTTCTTACGGGTATAACGTCGTGCATTCCGTGCCTGGTATATGCACCGTTTTCTAGGTCTTGATTTCTCTGGAGAGAGTTTTTTTACCAGAACTTGTAACTAGACTGAAGAATCATTGTGCTTTGTCATGACTGTGTCATCATGTCAAGCAATAATACTCCGGTACCTGAGTTATCTCTTCCGTTGGTTGACTGTTGACTCAGTACTGGTGTGTGACCCCAGCTCTTGCTCGGCAGTAAGGAGGTGGTGTACGAGTACAATCTGCCAAACTACAATCCACATCACCATGGCAACTGCTCAGCATAAGCCGCATTGCCATGCTAACAGTAATGTGGGCTGTGTCAGTTTTTTTCTCCCAAAAAGTAAGGTACAAATAAAAGACATTCGCTTCGGCGGGCCACCACTTCGTATATCCTTCGTGTCAAATGCAGACCTCACAAGTGAGTCAGGGGAGAGGGGGATAAGGCTCGAACAAGCGGGTGTGTAACAGCCCTATGACCCCATCTCATAAACCCGCTTCCTATTTACTTCCTATTTAACAAGTAATTACAATTGTAGTTGAAGCGAAGTTCGCCCCTCAGGCCGAGTCTGAGCCCTGTGCTATACCGCTACATTACAAGTACGTTGCATGGGTTTGTTATAATAGGGAGGTTTCGCTCTACGTAATTACGTATGAAAATCCGTATGTCGTACACGCCGGGGAGCGAGGGCAACTTTCATACGTAAATCTCTCTACGGATTTCCGTAGGAAAGCTGTTTCCTACGTTGGGTCCTCCGTAGGACTTTTTGAAATATTTTCGCATTTTCCGGATTTGTCCATGGCAACGTTCAAGCCGCACGAAACACAAGGTACACACACTGTACACCACGTGCAAAATATAATGGAAAACGCGGTTTCTGTTTGTGGTGCATGAATTGGGTGGGCAGGGCCAAGGGGTTAATGACTACTTAAGTGTACGGGCAGGGGTGGTCGCTACACGAGCATACAGAGTTGTGCAACAGCGGTGATATCTGGGATTTGAAGGGAGTACGAGAAGGGATTTCGCGAAGCTGGGTGGGCAAGCAATTAAAGTAATGAAGGGCCTTGTACGTTCGTACAGGGGAGAATGGAGACAGCGGTCAGTCCGCGGAGTTGGCAAGTGCCAAGTACGAGAGCGACGTAAATTATACGAAAGTTGCACGTTGCTAGCAGTATGCAGCGAGAGTATATGTGGTATATGTGGTGGGGCATAATTGTGGCGCAGAGAATGCGCGAAGAGGATGTGTTTTTAAACTTTAAAGCGTGAAAATAATGTTGGCCATTTGATGCGATGCAAAAGGTGGGAGTGTTCTAATTGCGTGTAAAGGGGAAGGTGGAGACTATTCTGGCGGCTTTCCGCTGGAGTCGTTCTAGCCTGTCAAGGGAAGTGTGTGACAACGGTGTGAGAGCATTGCTCGCATATGAGAATATAGGTAGTATGTACTTGAAAAAGTATGTCTGATAGATGTGAGATAAAGAATCACTGGTGAGTGTAGACCTTAGTCTAAAAAGAATATTGAAAGACTTGAGTGATGTTTTGACTATGTATTCAACATGCTCCGTCCAACGGAGGTCATGCTGAAAGATTATTCCGAGGTGTTTGTGTTTTTGTGCTTGTTGTTGTTGTTGTTGTTGTTGTTGTTGTTGTTGTTGTTGTTGTTGCTGCTGCTGTTTTTGTTGTTGTTGCTGCTGCTGCTGCTGCTGCTGCTGCTGCTGCTGCTGCTGCTGCTGCTGCTGCTGCTGTAGGCCTGGGCGGATAATGCTAGTTATTTTGCGGGATAATGCTAATGGCAATGCCAGAAAAACTGTATCATAATGCTACTTATCAAATGCTGCTGTTCCTCTGTAATGCCAGCAATTCACCAGTAGTAAGTCTGGAAAAATGGCTTGGTTTGGGCACGATGCACGTTTCGTAGTTCTACGTAGACGGCATGGAAAATGCTAGAAAATCATGATCATAATGCTAATTTTATGCAGTGCTATTGCTCCATACAATCCCTTGCAGCTAGCTGTCCAGCGAGGAAAGTCTCGAGAGGAGGCCTCTTGATCTGCTCGCTCATTCGCCTGGCATTCAGTAGCACTTCATCGCCAAGGACTTCAATTCAAAACAGTTTTCACACTGCCCTTCAAGCCTTTTCCTCCTGAACTTGCTGCAAACGTATGAGCTCTACTGCACGCGTTCCCTTGTTTTAAAAGTACTTGAGGCTGTTTGTATTCGTTTGCATAAGCCTGATCTTTGTAAGCAGAAGAAACACGTAGTTGCGTTAAAATTGTTTTCGTAGGTGCACAGCATGATTGTTTGTCTCACTACACAGTTTTAGCGTTATAATTAGTTTCTCACCCGCCGTTGCACAGTAGCTCTCACTTCACTTCTATTGTCTCACCTTCCCTCATTCTATTTTGGCACTGTATTTTGTTCTCGTAACACATCATTGGATGTATATTTAATCATTGTTCAGCATGGTTACACTTCAGTCACGACTTTCCACTGATGAATGTGACAAGAAAATTAATTCTGGTAAACTTACTTTCATGACTTCGTTGTAGTGTGGCGATGACTGCAGAATTTGTTCTCTTTATTGCTATTATTATATTAATAATGCTATCATTATCCGCCCAGGCCTACGCGTGACTAAGCGTATACGACAGTGTGTACGTGTAGACTACGACCAAGAGTACATAATCGCAAACAATTTTGATTTAACACAAATTCAACTCAGCATCGTGCGTACTGAGTATTCAGATCCTCGCAGTCACTGCCTGTGTGCGGTCTTCCTGTGCCACGCGAAACTCTTACCAGGCTCATCTGTCTGCCTTCGAGCTTCACCTTTTCTTGAACCCCATATACATGTACAACAATTCAGGAATGTTTTGCAATGAAAAATACAGCTAGCTACAGCTAGCAGCGCGCTGTATCTGGAGCTGGAAAAAAGAAGAAAAATTGTGCTCCACAGGGAGTCGTCAAATACTTGCAGTACTGTATTTGACGACTTCCTGATAGTACACGTGTAAAAGAAACTCTTTGTGGTAGCATTCTTAATTTTTCAACTGAAATAATTGTGGTTCTGCTGTGTTTTCTTGTGGTTGCCATGTCTATCGCTATGACGATGCCGTGCCGGCTCTTTTTTTCTGTCTCCCTCTTTCACCTAGGCTGGTGCCGGAGTGGTGTATGGAAGTCTGACCTGACTGTTTCAACATGAACAGCTCATCACCATGATCACTGCCGCGCGAGTTTTTCTGACTCGTGGGTCGTGGGCTAGCTTTCGTTTGACAAGCCAAGCATGGTAAAAAGACCAGCACAAGCTGCACAACTGCCAGCTGGTGTATGTGGTGCAGCTACACCGGCTCGGAGTCATGAAAGCGACGACTCCGGATCCGGTACGGTAGCTTACTGATTCAGACTACATGTATTTAGAAAAGCGATCCTGTCAGCTTTTCTATTATTGTGTTCACATGGCAGAAAAAACGACACCGCTATGCTACGTAAGTTTCTACGTAAGGTGCTCGGTATTTCACTTAGGCTACGTAAGTCTCTACGTAAGGTGCTCGGTATTAGATCTACCAACGCGTGGTAGCCGTGTGCTGTGCACGTGCACGGCAGACATTGTGTTCAGTGCATGCAGTCCACGGCTGTTTCGCGGCCACCACTTAACAATATGGCGGCCTTCGCCCAGGTTTACGGTGAAATTCAAAAATATTCTGAAAACTGAAAAAGATTTCAAGATCCTGTGGGATTCACGCGAAAACTGTGCTTTGTCAAGGTAACAAACACCGCGATCGGGACAAGGATTCAAACTTTCGAAGTCGCACAACAAAAATTGTTCAGCTTCGACAACAACAAACAAGGAAAGAAAAGGAAGGAGAAGGTAGACAGCAGGTTTTTGCTGGACGACGTCTCTTCCTGTTGTCACTACAGAGCTCAACTAGGAGTCAGCAGTACCGTTGTTATTTTTCTTACCTGGATCAGGGCTGAAATGGCCAAGCTGCTGCGTCCAGGGCCTGAGGATCACTGCTCGAGCTCGGACGCCTTGCGTTTTCTTGATGCCGTGGCGGGACGAACAGCGTCATGTTGTGGCAATGTCCCGACGAGGTGTTGCTGGCACATTGCTGTGAGGCGCTGCAGAGTCCCAGGAATAGCGTTATAATCGAAGCTCAGCCTGTTGAATCTGGCATGAATTGACTCGCTGCCCTGCTCGGCGAGTCGACCCTGACCGACTCCAAATTTCCTGGTGAACGGGACTGTGCGCTCCTCCAAGAGATGTAGTTTCGGAGTTATGTTGCCGAGCTGCCGGGTGATAATGGATTCTCTGCATTTCTGAAGAAACAGCTGGATGCAGTCAGCCAGCTTTGAGATGTCGGCCTCTGACATGCTGTTGCAATGGCTGAAACGGTGGCTGCAGTCGGCATATCCCGAAAACAATCCATGGTACCGCTGCTGCAAGATTTCTGCATCAGCAACGAGCTGCTGGCAACGAGTGGAAACCACCTCAACTGGAGCAGACATCAGTGCTCTTAGTACGGCAGGCTGCAGTGTGCGATGTACATGGTTGCCCACGAAGGCACCGCCATGGAAGGCTTGCCGATCAACATTGTGTGTTTGGAGCACAGACTCGAGACTTGACGCGCATGGTCCTGTGACTTTCTTGTTCTTTCTCATCTCGTCTAAGTCATGTACGAGTTTGCTGTGCTCAGCACTTGCAGCAGTGAAGGCGTCGCTGGCGTCTTTCCACAGTTGCTGTATTGCTGCAGCTACAGTGTCCATGTTGACGTTGGGAAAGCTGGTCGGTGCTTGTTGCTGCAAGAGCACTGCATATTGGAGCTGCTGATGTAGTTCATCGCTCTTCGCCTGGGCATCTTCCATAGCTTGCCTGGCGGACCGAACTTTGTCGCTGAGAACTGTTAGCTCTTAAAACTGGAGCTGATCATCTGCACACGGCTAGAGAGTTGCTGCTGCCAGTTTCACATCCAGTTGGTTGACTTCAGCTAGGTAGATGTCATACAGCCATGCGAAAATGCCGAGATCCAGATGAAAAGACGGAATAACAACGTTGCTGACGGGAATTGGCATGATAACTGGGCGGATGGCATTGTTGTGGTGCTTGGCTTGCGAAAGATTTGCTCCAGAGGCGGTCACCGCCAAGTTTTAGTCGAATCTCGGACTCCGGAATGACATTTCCGTGCCAGGTCAGCCACCCATATGTGTCGTACCAGTCCAGATCATCAGATCATCACGATGTCAATGAGATTTGGCATGTACGCCATGCATGCCATCACTATGCTGCCGTCTTTCTTATTCATTGGCACTTCCCTTGCTGTGTATTGTGGAACCTGCTGCGCAATGAACGAACCTAGTCTTGTTCAGTTTCTTCTGTGCGCTGTATGTCGGTGTTGCGTGCGTGAAAACATTTGCTTCATCTACATCCATTTAACTAGTACTGTGTGCTGTCTGGGGTCCAGGACAGTACAGTGTGATAGGGGTATTGCTGTTGTGGATGAATGTTGTGGGACTGTTGTGTGATCCATTTCTTTTCTTTTTTTTGTACAGCAGAAAGCTTTGAAGCAAGTTGCTTCTGCTTTTTTGGTGGACGTCTACCCTTGTTTGGTGCAGTGTGGCATATGTCGCAGTATGTGCGGTGATGTGGCTTCCACACTTTGATCGCTCCACATCCATCCCCTACAAATGAGTCAAGGCAACCTTCTCTCAGACAACGATCCAGCACACGTTTGCATACATGACAAATGTGTGTAGGGTGGATCGCAGGGTCATCCTGAGAAATGTCGGCCTCGTACACATCTTGAATGATCTGGCATAGTCCTTCACGTTGTATTTCGTGGACACAGCCATGTTGGCAAACTTTTTGCCAACAATACTGCAGCAGGTAGACAGCAATGCACCGTGTTCATCCATTTTACACACTACTACTAGCACGCGATACGGTAGAATCGATGGCCACGGAAATCGATCTAGTAGCACGGAAAGACAAACAAATTCAAAAAATCGGTAAATGAAGTCACCCAGGCACCAGGAAAACTGGCAAAGAAGACGAGAAAACTTTTACAAGAGAAGAAGGTAGCTGTGAAAAGGGCTGATAGAAGTGACGAAGGGCAAGTCGTCAAGGCAAAGGAAACGCACCTCTGAAGGAATCGTTCCTGGAAGAACACGGCCAGGACGGGTATCAGATGAAAGAGGATCGCGAGAGGAAGTCATGAAGCGTGTTTGTACTATGAAACCCGGTCGATTGGAAGGGGAAAGTGGAGGTTTCCTCAAGAGAAAAAGAGTATTTTCAAGCAAATCAATGACAGATCGATGATGAGATTTTTGAATTTTCAAATTTTTGGACGCCATATTTTTTGGCCGAGTACATGACCATCGTGACAGCCGTGAGTCCGCGGATCCGTGTTCGGATGTGCATGCGCGAGGAACTTCCTTCTTTGGAACTGCTTCTTGCATGCATGAGCTTTTTCGGATATTTCGTCTCATGGCCTGGCTTATTTCGTTTCGGCGCTGCTGAGACCTCCTTTCGCGGAATATTACTCAATGACAGGTGAGTTGACCAGTTGCCTTTGATTCATTTGCTTGTGTTGACTCTTTCATTCAGGAAAAGTGTGCTGATTTTGGGGCGGAATGCAATAAATAATGGAAAAGTTGACAGGATCTCTTTTCTAAATTTTGCTTTTCTGCTGCCGAGCTGCGAGGCCTCCTTTTACGGAATACTCGATGACAGGTGATCTCTAAGTTGACCGGTTTCCTTCAATTCATTTGCTTATGTTCACCTTTCATTTACGGAAACGTGTGCTGATTTTATTCGGATTTAGATCCATTTTTATCTCTTTGCCCTTGTCTGCAGTGTGCGAAGAACGCGAGTTCAACTTCTTGACGGTAAGGCTTATGTTAGATGTGTTGTCGAAATACTCATATTCATTGTACATTGGTACGTTACAAGTAAGGCACTGGTCAGTGGCATACTATCGTTGGCAGTTCCCAATCTGGAGGGAAAGGTTCAAGTACCAATTGACCGAGTTTGCAAAATAAATTCGCATATCAGGGGAAATCTCTATTGTGGAGAGGTTCAGTAACTTGTTTGTTTCATACGAAACAAGCCAATGGGTGCAGTCTCGTCTCGTGAAAATCTCGTACTTGTATGATTGGATTTGTTTACTCAAGTCTGGGCTGTTTGATTTGTGAGTACCGCCGAGATTGCACTGCCTCAAATAAAGTTTCGTGCCGCCAAAGCAAGAATTACGATCTGCAATCTGTTTGTAGTACCTGTAAGAATGTGGAGTACATGTATCGTACTTTCTCTGTTGCTGTTTGAGTTGCCGTCATGTTGCTAAAGAAAGGTTCAGTAGAGAGGTTCTGCAAAACGAAAATTCGAACGAAGTTTCGCGACAGTCCTTGCGAAAGTGTGTGCGAATTTTTGCACGAACTTTGCGTTCTGCACATTTTCGTAGTTTGCGCGGGCCAAGTGCACTTACGCCATGACCCGACCTCACGAAATTTCCTACGACAGTTCATTTCGCGTTCCCTGCAAGTTTCGCGTCCAAAGGTGCGAAGTTTCGCACTTCATGATGTAGAGCGAAAGTTTGTACGCATTTTCGTTTTGCAGAATCTCCCTAGTGACTCAATTGTTTCATACGAGACGAGGCAATGAGTTGGTGTGGCTTAGAATCTTTCGCCGTAGAAGAAATCTATTCGTATGTCTATTGGAGATATAATTGTATTCTCCGGTTATAAAATAGGTTAAGCTCACAGAATAAATACCATCGGTCCCTTGGTGTTCGTCCTAAAGAGGTTCGACTGGATATCATTCATACTCACCAAAAGATGTGTAAGATTTTATTATTGTGGAGTGCCTTGTTTATCTCTCAGTACCTCCAACCATAGCCTTGTACCTTTTCTCCTCAGGATCAGTGTAGTTGTTGGAACGAGGTTTTGGACTCAGCAATGTATTCGTTTACATTTTAATACATGTTTATTGTTCCTCCTTTGCTGTGTTGTTTTAGACAATCGTGGACTAACAGTTTGAAGTCATTGAACTACTTCCAAAAGTTGTATCGACATCAACAGGATTACGATTTCAGTTTCAACATGATGCTGGATGACCTTATCACGATAACCCATGACTATAAACCATTATAAACACAGAATCAACAAAAACATTTGCGACACGCACCTGCCGCATGGCTACATTTCTCAAATAAATCTGATTGAGGGTGGAGAAATCTGAAATATCTGAAAGGCAAAACAATTTTATGACAGAGTCATGAAATTCTGCAACAGCAACATGCACAGAATGACCTCCGTATAAAAAAAGTATAACCACCACTGCATGCTCACATGTTTACCCGCAGAAGAACATGCATTATGCTAGTGCCATTTTCTGCAAGAAAAGGCTTGCACATCAATGCGTATAATATGGTATTGATATGATGTGAAGGCCATCATTTACATATTGATATAGGGCATTCCATTGATTGGTGACAGAAAAAACAAAAGAAATTATAGCAATAAAAACTGCTTTATGGCAGTTTTCTAAAAAAAGTTATTGTGTTCTAGTCCATGGACCCCGTCTAAAAGTAAGAAATTAACGAAATGTGATAGCTGAAAATTAAAATTTCACACAAAACCTCACAATAATCACACACAGAATGAAAAGCTACATGCAGAAGACCTCTTCCCCTCGCGATCCTCTTTCCTATGCATGCATGTTGCCAATTGTTGGTGCAGTACAAGTTTAGTGTTGAAAGCAGGGAGTAGTATTGTACTACTCCCTGGTTGAAAGCAGCATTTCAAGTGTTGTGATTGTTGTGAGGTTTTGTGTGAAATTTTAATTTTCAGCTATCACATTTCGTTAATTTCTTACTTTTAGACGGGGTCCATGGACTAGAACACAATAACTTTTTTTAGAAAACTGCCATAAAGCAGTTTTTATTGCTATAATTCGGAGATTGAGGTCGTCAGGAGTGCAAAAATAAGAATGTCCTCCGTAGTGCAGTGCGGTGGTTGTGGATCGTCCACGACCACTCTAAAGTTTGTTTCGTGTTTGCACGCACTGTGTGCACCGTGCCTGCAGAACAGTTTGGGATTTGATGGCTGCGTGAAGTGTCCACGATGTTTGGTCGGCACGCAGTTGCATTTCGGCCTGGATCCATTACGATCGCTACCGAATGTCGTTCAAGCTGTTGCATGTGCTACACATGAGTTATATGTGTTGTTTGTAATTATCATGCACAGTCATCTAGTGCCTTGCTATGCCATCGCATGACACTCCATCCATGTACGGCTTACCTGCACATGACACGCGTTCATGATCAACCAACCTTATTGGTCTAGCTTGTCATCGTATTGTACACATCCGGTTCTGGATCCTTCTATCTTCTTCTACTGCTTCTAGCACCTTCCGTCCAGTTCTGATAATCTGGAGTGATTTGCATTTCTTTGTTCTTGTTGTTTATGTTCCCAAGAAGTGAAGTCAAAATAGAATGCTCTCGCATGTTGTGTGTGTGTGCTCGAGATAAGTAACAAAGTTCAAGGATCGAACTTTACATGGTGTCAGAATAATGTCAACCCGCACAGCCCCGGTCCCTGACCGCTTCGACTTTTCTGCCCCGCAGAAATGGCCTCTGTGGCGAGAACGATTCTCGACCTACCGCCTTGCTACCAAGCTTCACAAGGAAGATGGTGAGGTCCAGGTAGCAGCTCTGAAATATGCGTTGGGTCCGGACGCTGAGCCTGTGTTCCTGCAGCTTCAGTTTGACGCAGACGCTGATAAGAAAGACTTCGACAAAGTGCTCAAGAAGTTTGGTGACTATTTCACCCCGAAGACGAACCTATTCCACGAGCGGATGGTGTTCGAGCGTGCAGCGCAGCGTCCAGGTGAGACGGTGGAAGAGTTTCTCCGTCGTCTGCACGTGATAGCTGAGACATGCGAGTTCGGAAATAACAAATCCGATCGCATTCGTGACCGTTTCGTTGCCACCCTGCTAGATGAGAAATTAGCAACGGACTTGCAGCTGACGGACAATCTGACCTTGGAAAAGGCTACAGAGAAAGCTCGCGGGTACGAGCTCGTCCGCCAGCAAGTCGCCTCACAGCGCGGCCATGCCAGTGCTACACCTGCGTCAGCCGCTGTCGCTGGTGCTTCTGCTGCTCCTCGTAAGAGCACAGGATCGTTCAAGAGTAAGTCTGATGGACCTGCCGGCAGTCAGTCTCACAATCTCTGTATGTTTTGTGGTGGTAAGTCCCATACCCGCGACCGCTGTCCTGCTCGGGATGTTACCTGCCGCAGCTGCTCCAAGAAAGGCCATTACGCCCGTGTGTGTCGCTCATCCAAGAAGGGGTCACACTCATCTTCCAAGCAATCCAGTAGCTCTGGTGCACATTCTCTGGCCACACAGGACGACCCGGGTGTGACTGAGGATTGGGCCTACTTGGATTTAGATAGTATCGCATCAGGCAGCAGTCCATGGATGTGTGATCTGCTGTTGTACGGGAAGTCCGTACCGTTCAAGATTGACACTGGAGCGGATATCACTGTGATTACTCCAGCAACTTACGAATCCCTCAAGTCACCACCGCCTCTGAGCTCTCCTACAACACGGTTGACAGGAGCCAATGGTGATCGCATCGACTGCAAAGGCACATTCAGTGCAACTTTGTCCAGCCCAAAGCTCAGTTCCTCGCAGCACCAGCTGGAGATTCACGTTCTGACACGGGGCAAGTCCAACCTCCTGAGTCGCGAAGCCTCGCTAGCAATGGGTTTTGTGTTCAAAGGCATCTCAGAAGCGAAGCAGCCACCTCTTGGACGCATGCTGGGTGAGCCCGTCAAGATCGCTCTGAGGCCTGATGCCGTTCCGTACCAGTGCTCAACAGCTCGTCGCGTGCCGATTCCGATCCTGCCGAAGGTCAAAGCAGAGCTTGTCCGCATGGAAGCTGCCGATGTCATTACAAAGATAACAGAGCCTACGGACTGGTGCGCACCCATGGTACCCGTTGCCAAAAAGAACGGCGACGTCCGGATATGCGTGGATCTGCGACGTCTGAATGCTTCGGTCAGGCGCGAAACCTTCATCCTGCCCACCGTCAACGAGACATTAGCGAAGCTGAGTGGTGCAACATGCTTCACCACCCTGGATGCAGCGAAAGGTTTCTGGCAGGTGCCGCTTGATGCCGAAACAGCTAAGCTCACCACGTTCATCACGCCATTCGGACGTTACTACTTCCGTCGACTTCCGTTTGGCATAACATCGGCGCCAGAAATATTCCAGCGCAAGTTAATGCAATACCTGGATGGCCTTCCAGGGGTGTGCGTCTTCATGGACGACATCCTGGTCTTTGGTGCGACAGTCGAGGAGCACGATGCTACCTTGGAGAAGGTCCGATCAATCCTGCGCAATGTTGGTGTTGCCCTTAACCCCGACAAGGAACATGTTCGCCAATCGTCAGTTGAGTTCTTGGGCCATGTCGTCTCCGCTGATGGAGTCAGCCCCAGTCAGCAGCGCCTCGCCGCTATCTCCGAGCTCCAGGCACCAGCCGATCTCCCTGCGCTACGTCGCGTGCTGGGTATATTTAATTATCTCAGCAAGTTTCTGCCGGAAATGGCCACTGTCTCTCAGCCGCTCCGATTGCTCCTCCGCGCTGACACAGTGTGGTGTTGGGATGCTCCCCAAGAAGAAGCTTTCCAACGACTCAAACAACTCGCGAGCCAGTCTCCTTGCCTAGCATTCTACGACGTCTCTAAGCCAACTCTTCTGCGAGTTGACGCCAGTGGCTATGGTCTGGGAGCTGTTCTCCTCCAGCAGCAGTCAGCTGGTTGGCAACCTGTCGCGTACGCCTCCCGATCTCTCAGCGACGCCGAGCGCAACTATGCGCAGATTGAAAAAGAATGTCTAGCCATCGTCTGGGGATGTGAGTACTTCGCCCAGTATCTCGTTGGTAGCAAGCCATTCACGGTGCATACTGACCATAAGCCCTTGGTTCCCCTGGTAAACAGCCGTGATCTAGATCGAGTGCCACTTCGTTGCCAGCGTCTGCTACTTCGACTGGCTCGTTTCGACGTCACTGCCGAACATGTCCCCGGCCGTGATCTCGTTGTGGCCGATGCTCTCTCTCGAGCACCACTACCTACCACCGTCTCTACCTCGTCTGTTCTGACTGACGAGATCGCTTCTCTTGCCAATTCAGCTGGCGAAGAGTACATGTCGTCTGGATTCTCGCTTGCCCTACGAGATGCCACCCAGGCTGACCGCGTCCTGCAGCAAGTTGCTAAGTTTATTCAGTCTGGCTGGCCTGATCACAGCAAGGACGTCCCTGCTGACATCCTCCCATACTTTGCCGCCCGCCAGCATCTCTCTGTTGCCAACGGTCGTATCTTCTATGGTGCACGTGTGGTTGTGCCTGCATCTCTGCGTGATATGGTCATCCGCAAGCTGCACACGTCTGCTCATCACGGTATCGTCAAGTGCCAGGCGCAGGCCCGCCAATCTGTCTGGTGGCCGTCCTGGAAGAATGACGTCGCTTCTGCTGTTACGCAATGTCGCACATGCTGTCAGCACCGTAGCCAACCTCCTGAACCTCTCCGACCGACTGAGTTTCCTTCACTCCCGTGGCAGCGAGTTGGTTCTGACCTGTGTCAATTCGGTAACACAACATACCTGGTGGTTGTCGACTACTACTCGCGCTATGTTGAAGCCTTGCCTCTCCGTTCCACCACGTCTGCCTCTGTCATCACTGCTATGAAAGCCATCTTCGCCCGGCACGGTGTGCCTGAGACTCTCGTCACGGACAATGGGCCGCAGTATGCAAGTGATGAGTTCGCCCGGTTTAGCTGTCAATGGAACTTTGATCACGTGACGAGCTCTCCGCATCACCCGCAAAGCAATGGGGAAGCAGAGCGTGCAGTACGCACTATCAAGCAGCTTCTAGCAAAGTCGGACGACTTCCAACTGGCTCTCCTCACCTACCGTAGTACGCCACTTCAGAGCGGGTTCTCGCCATCACAGTTACTGATGTGCCGCAGCCTCCGTGGTACGCTACCGGTGGAACCCTCCACTCTTCTGCCGACGCTCCCTGCAGGTGAGAAGCTGAGGGAGTGGGAGCAACATCGCCGAGCACAGTCAAAGGATAACTTTGATACACGTCACCGGACCAAGCCTCTCCAGCCCCTGCAGCCAGGTGATAGCGTGTGGATTGCAGATCAGCAGAGAGAAGGGACTGTTAAGTCATCACTGTCCGATCGGTCTCTGCTGATTGCAGTACCCAGCGGCACGATCCGTCGCAACCGGCATCAGCTGCGTTTCCTGCCCGCTAGCCCACCGGAGTCTGTTGAGATTCCCAATAGTCCTCCAGCACCCGGCCGGCCGCAGCGTGCCCGACATGCCCCCAGTCGCCTCATTGAAGAGATTTGACTGTCTCTCCGTCTCTCTCAGAGTTATCATGCGATTTCTTGCAAGTTTGTCGCAGCTGTTTTTTTCTTCTTGTCTCGATATTATCGTGCTTTGTTCTTTTGAGTATTCCTCCGATTTCTTTTCTAAGGGGGGAGATGTTGCATGTGCTACACATGAGTTATATGTGTTGTTTGTAATTATCATGCACAGTCATCTAGTGCCTTGCTATGCCATCGCATGACACTCCATCCATGTACGGCTTACCTGCACATGACACGCGTTCATGATCAACCAACCTTATTGGTCTAGCTTGTCATCGTATTGTACACATCCGGTTCTGGATCCTTCTATCTTCTTCTACTGCTTCTAGCACCTTCCGTCCAGTTCTGATAATCTGGAGTGATTTGCATTTCTTTGTTCTTGTTGTTTATGTTCCCAAGAAGTGAAGTCAAAATAGAATGCTCTCGCATGTTGTGTGTGTGTGCTCGAGATAAGTAACAAAGTTCAAGGATCGAACTTTACACAAGCAAGCGATGCTATGACTGGAGCGACTACAGGCCAGGATCAGGCCATCCAAACCTGTGACGAATGCTGGGATGGAAAGCCAGCTACAGTGGTTTGTGAGAACTGCAGCGTCAAGTTCTGCGACCAGCACGCTGCTGCCCATTCTGTGTCTAAATCTGGCAAAGGGCACGCAATCAAGACGTTGTCTGCACCATCCACAGAGTCAACAAACAGCAGCGGCAGCAGCAGTGGCAGAGTGGTCCAGCATAGATGTGCTCTACACACACGTGAAGTGCTGAAACAGTTTTGCTTGGAGTGCAATCAGCTATTGTGCACACTGTGTACACATACTGGAGCACACAGACATAATGAACACAAGGTGATCGATATTGCCAGTGCTGCACAAAACACTCGTGACACACTTTCCACTAAGCTGAGCAGTTGTACATCAGAATGTGATGGTGTTATCCGCGGTGCCATAGAGACCGTGGAGAAGAACATTCGGATCGTACACAGTCAGACAGAGTACGCTTCAGGGAAGGTTTCTGATTTCTTCAAGCCACTAATGGCGGCTGTGAAGAAACGAGAGGACTCTCTTCTAACTGAACTGGATGAGCTGAGGTTGAAGAAACTAGAACCTCTGGAGAAGCAGCTACACCACCTTCAGGGGTGTGTGTCAGAAGGAGAGGGTGCTGCCGCAATCCTGCACTCTTTTGAGGATGATGTGGAGCTTCTCCGTGTGTGGTCCTGGGTGGATGCGTCTATCACGAAGACCATGGAAACTGCCGAGGATGAGAAAGAGCCCTGTGTCAACAGTGGCATCGTGTTTGGCACGACGGACACCACGTCCCTACTCAATGACCTCAGCAAAACGGGAGCAGTGCTGGATGTTGCTGATGGTAGTATGAAGTGTCCCGACCAAGCCAACGTCAATGATCACATCAGCATCTCTATAGAGCTACCAGGCAGTGATGTCTCAAGTATCATGGAGCAAGATCAACTGGACAACATTGGACTGGAGATATCAATATCAGGGCCGGATGACGACACAACCAACGCGTGCGTGCAGCTTACACCTGCTTCTGGACGTTTAGTACAAGCTGAAAATATACAGTTGCAAGCTGGTTGTTACAGAATTTCAGCCAAGATTGGCTGTATCCATCTGAAGGGTAGCCCACAGAAGCTGGTGATGTCACCGGTGACTTCAATGAAGTTTGATGGAAATCGCTGTGGCAGTCCTTTGAATATATCCCGTGACGGTTGCACACTGAAGAATACCACTGCTGTTGGGTATCGATCAGCATGTACCATGCCGATGGTCCTTGCTACTGGCAGCAGTACACTGAAGGTGAGGATTGACAAGACCAAGAGTGGTGAAATCTTTCTCTCTGCTTGTTCCTCCAGTAGTCCAAACCTTCGACAATACCAACAGGACAAGGCACATTGTTTTGGTTGGAATGGCGTTAATGCTTATTCCTTCCACACCGGCTTAGCCCTTGGTCAACCCTGGAAAACAGGTGACATCATTCATCTAACCGTTGATCATGATCATCACACTCTCACTGGTAGACATGAGAGAACGGGTGCCACAGAAACCATCCCGAACGTCACAGGTAGCCTGTACTGGATTGTGACACTCTGCAACAAGGACGATGAAATCACTCTGGTGTAGAACATTACATGTACATGTACATTTATGCTGTACATGTATACCTTCAGATTGCCTTGGTTATATTATCATCAAGACGTGTCATGACTTCTAGGGTGTGTTTGTGTTTCCCAGTGATTTGATCTGTTATGTAATACATCAATGAGTGCAGCTCTTCAGTACACTAACAGGTACATGTATAGGGTAGTACCCCCCCCCCCCCCTCCCTCCCTAGGGTAGTACCCCCCCCCCCCTCCCTAGGGTAGTACCCCCCTCCCTCCCTAGGGTAGTACCCCCCCCCCCCACACACACACTCTCTCTCTTTTTATGCATTCATATGTATCAGTTCTGAGTTGGTATTTTCGGACCAGTTATCATCAGTGTACATGTACTGCTGCATGGATTTTTCTTCATTCTGGCGGAAGGCAAGGTGACATGACGCATATGTTGGGGCAACTGAACAGCTGATGTTACATGTACTACTGTGATCTGACCTGCCTGCACCTTCTTACTGTTCATACCAAGTGCATGTCCAGTAAGGATGACACGTTAGTCTGATTTGAATTCTTTTTACTTCCCGTAGTATGGTTTGTAGAAAGTAGTTGGGTGGACAACAACTAGTATTGTTTGTTGCTGATGTATTATCCGATGCTTTACCCTTGTCTTTACTTTTGCAGGCTTCATTCAATTTCATTCATGTTACTATTGTTAGTTGTGCTCTGCTCTTGGTTTGTTGCATCTGAGGGAAAGGAGGTTTGCCTCGCTGTGGAATTCTCTTTTCGTTACAACTTGACTTTGCCTTGCAGCTCACTAGCATGCCTGGGTGACTGAGATTGTGTAGACTTTAAAAGCACGATACCATAGTGTGTCCACTGGTGAAATATACGTACCCGCTCATGTAATCCGTTCATTGCACGTCGTTGGTACATGCGTTGTATGCTTTATTTGCTTTTTGTTTTATGGTGCTGGCTCCTTGCCTTGTAGTTGTACACGTACATACCGATAATAGTGAAACTCACACACTATGTGCTTTGGAGTTTGGTACTGTAAGATGTTGTACGTGTGTGTGTGTGTGTGTGTGCGTGCGTGTGCGTGAGCGCCTGCGCGTGTGTGCATGTCAGCTCACGGCTACGAGCACCGGAACGCTGCTCTCGCCGCAGGAATTGCTCTGCAAAAAGCAGGAGGTGGCCGCTGAGCTTGCCACACAGGGCCGTTGCTCAACACCACCGCCACTCCGAGTTCCATAGCGTGGCAGCGGCCCTCTCTCCACACTTCTAGATAGTTTATCAGGTCTTGCTTTATTCTCCTATCATGTCCAAGCCAGTCGTTTGCTCCGGTATCATTCGGTTCTATTTTACAAGTCTAGTGCTTTTACTCCCCCAACTATTTTCCTTTTATTTTCTAACAGATATTGCGTGGATGGGCGTGTGTGTGCGTGTGCATTTGCATGTTGGTGAGTGTGTGCTTGCGTACAAGTGTGTAGATCCAGCTAACCTTTCAAATCCTAGTCTGCATTGCCAACCTGGTTCTATTTATGCCCATGGTGGTTGTTATCTTCTAAACTATGTACGGGCAGGTTGCTTTATTTATTATTTTCATCGTTATTATTATTATTTCCATTGGCCAATTCAATGTCTTCTTACGGGTATAACGTCGTGCATTCCGTGTCTGGTATACCCGGTATGCACCGTTTTCTAGGTCTTGATTTGTCTGGAGAGAGTTTCTTTTACCAGAACTACTTGTAACCAGACTGAAGAATCATTGTGTTTTGTCATGACTGCCTCATCATGTCAAGCAATAATAATCCGATACCTGAGTTATCTCTTCCGTTGGTTGACTGTTGACTCAGTACTGGTGTGTGACCCCAGCTCTTGCTCGGCAGTAAGGAGGTGGTGTACGAGTACTTGAAGTACAATCCGCCAAACTACAATCCCCTATCAGTATCACCATGGCAACTGCTCAGCATACATGTATGCCACGTTGCCATGCTAACAGTAATTGGGAAGTAAAGCAACATTGCCAGTGCGTAGGCACTGCAGGGGTACCGGTAGTACAGTAGCAGCAGTCAATTGGACTGTGTCTGGGGTTTTTTCACCCAACAAGTATTAAAAGTACAAGCAAAGACATTCGCTTCGGCGGGCCACCACTTCGCCCATACACATGTATATCCTTCGTGTCGAATGCAGACCTCAGCACAAATGAGTCAGGGGAGAGTGGATACAGCTCTCAAACAAGCGGGTGTGTAACGGCCCCATAAGTATAACCCCACTGGGCCATATCATAAACCCGCTTCCTAAACAAGTACTTGTAATTACAAGTAGTTGAGGCGAAGTAATTAGTTCGCCCCTGGCCCTGTGCTATACGTGACTGTATAACAAGTACGTTGTTATTGTTGTTGTTATTGTTGTTGTTGTTATTGTTGTTGTTATTGTTGTTGTTATTGTTGTTGTTGTTGCTGTTGTTGTTGCTGTTGTTGGTGTTGTTGTTATTGTTGTTGCTGTTGTTGGTGTTATTGTTATTGTTGTTGTTGTTATTGTTGTTATTATGAAGAAAGGAAAAGGAGTTCAAAATTGTTGTTATTTTTGCTGTTTCAAATATTTATTCTATGTTGTTGTTGTTGTTGTTGTTGTTTTGGTGTCAAATCGCGTTGTTTTAGAGCTTATGTCTTTAGGAAGAGATTTTGTACAGAAATTTCGGTTGGATGTAGGTATTCTTGAGGTTTGACCTGTGTGGCCTAATCCCATGGCCAGCACTGTACAATTATAGGGTGTTCAAACCGTCAATGTACTTCACAGCTGATGATTAGGCCAATTTCCGTTACATACATGTACAGTCAACTTCGCTAATAACGACCGCGGATATAACGACA